CCAGTTGCCAAGGCGATCAGGAAGCATCCCGCACGAGCTTAAGAGGCTGGTGCCGGGCGCATTCCGTTGTCTTGCAATCATCAAAGGATCCCCAGCTACGGCGGGATCTTTGTGACTAGACTCTGCAAGCCCACCCCCAGCCTCACAAAGACCCCACAGGAGGAGAGAGATGGCCAGAGACAGCCTGCCTGCCATTGCCAGAGACCCCACAGAAGGGGGGAGAGGACTATTACAGGGGCCATTGCCAGAGACCCCACAGAAGGGGGAGAGATATCACAGCCTGCCTGCCATTGCCAGAGACCCCACAGAAGGGGGAGAGACTATCACAGCCTGCCTGCCATTGCCAGAGACCCCACAGAAGGGGAGAGACTATCACAGCCTGCCTGCCATTGCCAGAGACCCCACAGAAGGGGGGAGAGACTATCACAGACTGCCTGCCATTCCCAGAGACCACCCGCCTGATCCGGACTCCACAGGTACCTGTGTTCCACTTCTACCCCTGGGAGATCAGGCACCCTGTTGGATCCGTGAGTACCTTCTTCCCACCAGTGTTACCTGAACTGTTACTGTGGTGACCCCTCGCACCCCCCCTCCTTTGTCGGACTACCCGTTACAGGGATGCCCCCTTGGCTCTCCTGGTGGACTATAAGTGGGTGGGTCCCCCTCGTTACCCTTTAGTGGCAAATTCACCCTCTCTGCCACCCCCCTTATTAAAGGACTGCCGTCTGTCTCAATAAAGCTTTGTGCGTTTCCATCCACTCTGTGTGTCCTGTTCTGACTTCACACAGCTTCGATTCATGCCACTCACTGTGTACAATTGTTTTGCTAGCTGTGAACTCAAGACACCTCTTACTAAATAACTTGGACTATTCACTTTCCAAAAAGGGGTCATTCAGTGGGCATTTTTACTGTCCTGACCTTTTTATTGTGCCTAAATAATAAACACTGATTTGGGTTATTTTCATCAAAGGAAAATAGCAAAATACATTTTGACTTAAACTTATGAAGAACAATTATTTATTTGCAAAACTGTATAACAGAAACAAAGAAAAACGTGAGTTTTTTCGATTGAGGAAGTCAAGTGATTTGTGACGCAACACGTCAGGCAGAAGTGTGGTGACGTAATTTCAGTTCCAGACGGCAGCGGCCTTTTTGGTACACCCATCCCTATGCTTAATAGTACACATGCTTCTATGGGTCTGTGGACCCATTTTTAAATGTAAGTAGGTTTTATCCATTTATTTTTTGGCCGGCAAACTCGCCTGACCTGAACCCCATAGAGAATCTATGGGGCATTGCCAAGAGAAAGATGAGAGACATGAGACCGAACAATTCAGAAGAGCTGAAGGCCGCTATTGAAGAATCCTGGTCTTCCATAACACCTCAACAATGCCACAGGCTGATAGCTTCCATGCCACACCGCATTGAGGCAGTAATTGCTGCAAAATGGGCCCAAACCAAGTACTGAGTACATATGCATGCTTATACTTCTCAGAAGTCCGATATTGTTCTATGTACAATCCTTGTTTTATTGATTACATGTAATATTCTAATTTTCTGAGATTGTGGATTTGGGGTTTTCATGAGCTGTAATCCATAATCATCACAATTATGACAAATCACGGCTTGAACTATCTTGCTTTGCATGTAATGAGTCTATCTCATATATTAGTTTCACCTTTTAAGTTGCATTACTGAAATAAATGAACTTTTGCACAATATTCTAATTTTTTGAGTTTCACCTGTATGTCAGTATTTCTGTGCTCAAAGCGGTACATTTTTTTGCATGGAAATATGTCTTTTTTTTTATTGTAGGCCTGTAATTCTTAGGAATAACTCACTGAAATCTGTCTGAACAAGAGTCTAGTAAACATCCCGGGTAGGATAAAATTTGAAACACGAAATCATAAATTATAATATAATAAATAATCATAAAAAAAATATTAATAATACGTTTAATTCAATAATATAATCAAACCAAAAACACTGAAATTTGAAATATAGCACCAAGTTCGCACATCACTGAGCAAAGTCGCAAAATCGTTTTCAGTGTCTGATGATGAATTTCCCCACAAATCATTATCACTCAATTCTGCAAGTAGTTCTAATTTACTATCGCTGTTCTCTAGCTGGTCTAAAACCGCTTTTGACCTAAAGGGACGCTTTTTGGACGCCATGGACATTTCTCAGTTTCAAGGCAGAAATAACCGGAGGACATTTCAGGGACGCTGCAGGGGGGACATCGCGGGAGCAAAGGACAAGGTAAGTGAAGAAGAGATCCCAGAGTGGTTGTAAAGGCTCAAGGTTTTTTACCTTCATGCATTCTATGCATGAAGGTAAAAAACCTTCTGTGTGCAGCAGCTCCCTCAATAGTTACCTGAGCCTCATCGTGATCCAGCGATGTGAATGTGAGCCTCGGTTGCCCCCGGTCTCTGCCACCTCATTGGCTGAGACAGCAAGCGGGAGCCATTGGCTGTCAATCATAGCCAGTCAGTCAATGAGGAAAGAGAGGGTGGGGCCAAGCAGCTGCTCCGTGGACACACGGAGCAGCAGGTACCCTTATAGCAAGCTGCTTGCTGTGGGGGCACCCGACAGGAAGGAGGGGCCAGGAGAGCCTGCAGGGTACCCAAGAAGAGGAAGATCCAGGCTGCACTGTGCAAAACCACTACAAACAGCAGGTACATATGGACATGTTTGTTATTTTACAAAAAAAAAAAGAACCTTTAGAATCACTTTAACTTGTTTTACATAAATTATCAGTCACTTCAAGGAGAGGTGCTCAGTCAGGTGTTTATTTATTCAATTATATACTTTTTTATTCTTTCATTACCATTTAATGTGCATTGATGGTTGGATAGATCGATCTTTCTGTTATTTGCTTTTACTATTGAGTAGCACAGCATCATTTTAGTTGAATTTATTTGGTTTTTATGGGAACACAATTAGGTACTTGCTGCAACTTGCACTGTTAGGCTATGGATTGGCAGTGCAGGAGAATTTCTTTATTTTGCTTTTTTTTTTTTTTCAAAATTTTCATTTTTGTTTCACTTAGCAAAAAATAAAAGACCCAGTGGTGGTTAACTACCACCAAAAGAAAGCTCTTTTTGTGTGATCAAAGTGATAAAAATTGAGCTTGGGTACAGTGTTGCATGATCACGCAATTGTTACTCAAAGTGCAGCAGCGCTGAAAGCCGAAAGTTGGCCTGGGCAGGAAGGGGGTAAAAGTGCCTGGTATTGAAATGGTTAAGGGCCATTTCACGCCCAAGAAACGCAGTGCAGGTGAGTTCCGGATGTGTTTCTGCATGCGCATTCTAGTGCATTTTTGATGCGTTCCGGTTCATTTTTTCCCCATTTTTCTTTAATTTAAATAGGGGCATATGCTTTCCAGTGCGTTTTTGTGTGTTACAGTGCATTTTTTATGCGTTTTTTTTTTACCGCGTTCCAGTGCAGTTCTGTGCAGGGAAAATGCAGCTTGTTCTTTTTTTCTACAACCAGAACACACTGGAACTGTAAGCACTGATGTGAACTATGACATTGACAACCATATAACCTACTTTCTGTGCGTTTTGGATGCAGAAAAAAGCACACTGAAACGCATGCAGAAACACAGTCCAGATGCATTCTGAAGGCGTTTCTGCATGCAAATTTTGATGTGTTCCAGTACGTTTTTGACACATTTCAGTGCGGTTTTGATGCATTCCGGTTCATTCCCCCTCCTCTTTTTCTTCAATTTAAATAGGGACATGTATGTTCCAGTGCATTTTTGGTGCGTTCCAGTGCATATTTGATGCTTTTTATTGTGTTCTAGTACATTTTTGTGCAGGAAAAATTCAGCCTGTTCTACTTTTTTTCTGCAATCAGAATGCACTGGAACTGCAAGCACTGATATGAACTATGACCTCAACAACCATATAACCTACTTTCTGTGCATTTTGGATGAAGAAAAAAAGCAACTGAAACGTAGTTCAGATGCATTTCTACATGCATGTTTTTAACGCATTCCAGTGTGTTTTTGATGCATTCCAGTTCATTTTTACCCCTTTTTCTTCAATTTATCTAGGGGCATGGGCGTTCCAGTGCATTTTTTATGCTTTTTATCATGTTCCAGTACAGTTCTGTGCAGGAACAATGCAGCCTATTCTTTTTTTCTGCAACTGGAAGCACTGATGTGAACGTTGACATTGACAGCCATATAACCTACTTTCTGTGCATTTTGGATGCAGAAAAAAAGCAATCTGAAAAGCATGTAGTGTGAACTGGTCCTTAGTACCCGGTCATACCGGTGCGATTTTCAAACTGAAATCGCATCTAATGAATGTCAGTGTCTTAACATGTGCGATTTGCAGCAGCGATTTCTAAAGTAGCATTACTTTGCAGTTTTGTTACGATTTCACATACATAGAACATAAAGGAAATAGCTCTGCAAATTTCAAGAAATCATTGAAAATCTTTACAAGTAACAATAAAGTTTTCCGAAATTGCATTGAAAGTGCACATAAATCACGTCGGTGTGGCCAGTGACGGTACTTTTTCTTGAAAATTTGCATTTGAGATACAGCTGTGCAGATATTGCATGACAATAAAATTGCAGCAACCACCATTTTACTCTCTGCTTACAGAAAATATATCCTGTTTGGGAGTTCTAAGTCATTTTCTAATAAAATAAATGCTGATTTTATCATGTACGTAAGAAATTTCAGAATGGGCCCGGACGACAGATGTGTGGCCACCCTCCGAAGTCCCTGTAGCGGCTGAGATCCCAGCAGAGGCTGCGGCCTTTCCATTCTCCTCACTGGAGCGCCCTGTACAGTGTACATAAGCAGCGAACGGGCAGGGAAGCACATACTTCCGCCAGTGACATGGAGCACCATGGTACAGCCCTGCGCTCCTTTCTGTGCAGGGAGGGCAGGCTCCCCCTCCTTGCCGTCACTTCCGATGGTGCCCTGGGTTTTGCGTTCCGCCGCATCATTTCCGTCACTTTGTAAAGCGGCTGCTGTGTCATGGCTGAGGGCGGCTGTTACCGGCTCCGCTGTTCTCTGGCCGGGCACGAGCTGGACGTGAGGGGGGTGGCGCAGTGCCCGCTGTCCCCAGGTGAGGGCTTCGTCTCCGTGTCACGTGACAGGAGTGCCCGCCTCTGGGCGCCGGACAGGTGAGTGAGGAGCAGTCAGGGGCTGTCAGTGTGCTGGAGAGAGAGGAGGGCGCTATTCCCAGCGCTGAACTCGTTATTATCCATCCCCCCCAGTGTCTGTCTGCATCCCCCTGCCTGAGCAGGTTTCAGCGCTCTCACACTTTGACTGACAAGTACTCCCCCCATTCAGCACTCATTTTTGAGAGAGTGCTTTGTTTTGGAGGTATTTATCAACCACTGGGCTTGTGTTTTTTACAAGGCCGAATGCACACTGGGCGTTTTTAAAGACGCCGGTAGCGTTCGCTGCATAAAGATTTGTTAGCTTTTTTTTTTCTTTTTAGTGTTTTTTACATTACCGTTTAGAAGTGTTTTTGCACATTATTTTTTTTAGCTTTTTAATTTTGGCTCAGAAACACTGGTTTGCTGCGTTTTAACGTGTTTACGCATTTTTATGGCTAAAAAACTCCTCTTGACCCCCACCAGTTCTGGGGGTTTTTCCATTCAGAAAATGCTGATTAACCACTAGCCTACTGGGTACTTATACCCTCTTCCTTACCAGGCCAACTTTCTGCTTTCAGCGCTGTCGTACTTTGAATGACAATTGCGCAGTCATGTAACATTGTACCCATAGGAAATTTTTATCATTTTTTCTCACAAATAGAGCTTTCTTTTGGTGGTATTTACTCTCCGCTGGGTGTTTTACTTTTTGCGCTATAAACAAAAAAAGTGCAAAAAATATGAAAAAAAGGTTTTTGTTTCTATTATAAAATTTTGCAAACAGGTAATTTTTCTCCTTCACTGATGTGTGTTGATGGGGCAGCACTGATGGGCACTGATGATGGGTACTGATAGTCAGCACTGACTGGTGCAACTGCTGGGCACTGACTGGTGGCACTGCTGGGCTGCAGTGGGCACAGGTGTGTGGCACTGCTGGGCACAGGTGGGCAGAACTAGTGGGTGGCACTGCTGGGGCACCGATCATCAGGGCACTGATTATCAGTGCCCTGATGATCGATGCCGATCCCTCCTCTGACAACTGCCGGTTCTCGGCAGTACTTTCCTCACGATCTGACAGCGTGAGGAAAGTGCAGCCGAGAACCAACAATTGCATTTCCCTGTGATCAGCGTGTCATTGGACACGGCTGATCACGTGGTAAACGGCCGCTGTGATTGGCCTTTTACCACATCACGTGATCAGCTTTGTCTGTAGGACACAGCAATCATGGAGATCGCCAGGTGCACGCCCTCGGAGGTGCGCAGGAGAGCGCATTCTGGGAGGACGTCATATGACGTCCACCCAGAACTGGCCAGCCGCAGTGCAGCCGTCATTCTGCTATCGGCAGCTAGTTAAAGCCTATGGTTGTATTTACACTTGAGCGTTTTGTAGCTTGAGTCCTCAGGCACACTGGACGGTTTTACAGCTGCTGTTTTTGGCTTTTTCTACAGCCAGTAAACCCCCCCAGCATGTTATCCTATGTGTCCATGCACACATAGATTGTAATCAACGTTTTTTTGGCTGGAAAAAAAACCAAAGATTGGTGGGTTTCTAGAGGAGTTTTTTAGCTGTAAAAATGCTCTAATGCTGAAAAACGCGGTAAAACGTCACAAACAAGCATTGTTTGACTTTTTTTGACTAAAAAAAACCTCGCTAAACGCTAATGCAAAAATGCTAAAAAAACTGAAAAACCATGTTTTTAATGTGACTTTACACAGCTAACATTACCAGCGTTATCAAAAATGTCCAGAATGCATGAGGACTGAAGCTCCAAAACCACTCAAACTTAAAAAAAAAAAAAAAATCAATTGTTCTGTATGATGCCTGATCACACGAACAGGCACCATAGAGAACAATTGATTTTTTAAGTTTCAGCGTTTTTGGAGCTTCAAGCTACATAACATCAAGTGTAAATTCAGCCTTTAGGCCCCATTCACACTTGAATGTTTTGTAGCCTGAAGCTCCAAAAAAGCTCAAACTTAAAGCTTTAAGGACTGCTCCCCCGCTCCCCATTAAGGATTCCTTTTGGGAAGCGGGGGGGGGGGGGGGGTACCCGAATTTGACAGGTACCTGCTCCTACTTCTGGTCCGATCGCTTAGGTGGTCGGAATCGGAAGGTATTCTCCCTCCCTCACTGTAGTCTTTTGGGACACATGACAGATCCCAGAAGACTACAGGACCATTCATGCAGCGCTACTTGCGCAGTGGTTACCTGGCAGTGAAGCCACAAGCTATCACAGCCGGGTGCCCACACTGAAGATGCCGGCCTCCTGGAATACAGGATGGCCAGTGAAACGAGCTGTGGGGGACACACCAAGGGACAGGTAAGTGACTGTTTTTTAAAAGTCAGCAGCTACAGTTTTTGTAGCTACTGACTTTTCTTTTTTGATAGGTCGAGTGGACCGCTTTAAAAAAATCAATTGTTTTGTATGGTGCCTGTTCACATCTGATTGCGTGAACAGGCACCATAGAGAACAATTGTTTTTTTTTTTTTTTTTTTTAGGTTTGGGCTTTTTTTTTTTTTTTTTAGTGCTTCAAGCTCCAAAATGATCAAATGTGAATGCAGCCAAAGAGTGCATGGATACACATAACATGCTAGGGAGTTTACTGGCTGTAGAAAAAAAACACCAGAAGCCAAAATCACCAGCTGTAAAAACGTCCAGGGTGCATAAGGCCTAAAGGGGGGAAAAGCCCTGACATTTTGAGGAGAAAAAAAAAGTTACCTTCCTATCTGTTATAAAAGCCCATTCACGCCAGGACTCGCTGCGGGTAACCTGTGTTCCTTGCACATTTCCCACATCAATTTCAAAACGCACTGGGTGTCCATTCTGCTGCAGGTGTCAATATAATCTTAACACCACCCCAAATGCAGATCGCAAATGCAGAGCTTCTGCCTGCACCAGATTACATGGTACCGTAGTACCATGCAATCCATTGCAGTGCACTTCTGAAAATTAGTGCATGTACTACTTTTGATGCAATCCAGTGTGATTTCAGCCCATTCGAATGAATGGGCTGAAAATTGCACCGCACTGAGTTACACAGGAGCTGATGCAGATACTGCTGGCCAGTAATTTTAACCACTTGTCCTCCTGAGGATTTACCCTCCTTCCTGGCTAGGCCATTTTTTTGCATTACAACACTGCATTACTTTAACTGAGAATTGCGCAGTCATGCAACACTGCATCCAAATGACATTTACGTCCTTTTTTTTTTCCCCCCATGAATTGAGCTTTCTTTCTGTGGTATTTGATTGATTGTGCGTTCCTTTGGTTCCTTTGACCCCCAAAACGTGTTGGCCATCTTTTAACGTTTTGGGGGTCAAAGGTTGCACAGGAGTGCAGACTGTGTTCCTGAGTGATTCAGCTGTGACCTGTTCCTAAGGCCCCATTCACACCTGAGCGATTTTCTGCTTGAAGCTCTAAAATGCTCAACAACGCAAATCCTTTTCATTCCATGGCCCCTGTTCACATCTGAGCGTTCTGTCACCTGTAGCAAAATGCCTGTTGCTCAAAAAAAGTATGAGCTTCTTTTTAGCAGATTGGACCTCATAGACATCAATGAGAACACTTGACAACATGCAACATGAATGTTATCTGAGCGTTTTGTTGTGCATTTTCTGCTCAAATATTAGCTCTCCACCCCTAATCGCCTCCATTTCTCCTCCCTCAGTGCTTTATATTGGCTAAACAAAAACACCTGATGCTTTAAGGGCCTGTTCACATCTAGTGATTTGTGATCGTGGATGGAATTGCCATAATTCTGTCCCCGTTTTCAAATCGCACTGACATGCACCATTTTTGTGTGCCATTCTTTTTTAATGGCAACTAAAACAGTGTGGTTTTGCTGCAGCAAACCAGATCGTTCAAACTTGTCATCCAACAGTTCCTTTTTGGGTCACAAGCTTCACACAATGCAGTTTGCCAGGACTGCTGCACGATAGCGCTGATATTTTAGGAACCACTAGAAATGAATGGCACACAAATATGCCTGGTGTGTATTGCCAGCATTTCAGTGCATTTTGGAATTGTGATGATTCTGCCTGTGATTCTAAAACGCTAGATGTGAACGGGGCCTGAAACGTTTGTAGTACACTTCTAAAAACATGCAGTAACTCTTAAAAACACATGAAAATCGCTATATATATATATATATATATATACACATGTTTGAAAATTGGTAATTTCTGATGAAACTCATTCATAACAGTTGTGTTTACACTGTGATCGCATAGCGATCACATGATACTCCTGCCTCTCAAAGCGGCTGGGTATCGGGAGCTTCAATCCGCTGTGTTCAGTGGACACAGCAGTCGTGGGAGCGGCGTGCTGTACAGGTACTTCTCCTGGCCTGTAGCTGCCACGGGGGGGGGATGTAAATGGACATGTTTTTGTTTACAACAGCCAACATCTAATTAGACCTGCTAAAAACAGACAGATGGGGACCCATTCCCTTTCCTGCCAGTGGATCAGATAGCAGTTGGGTGTAAATGGACAGGCGGTCAATTTACATTTGGCTGCCCCATAGAGGAGATCAGGCTGTGTCCTTCTCCACTCTGCATAAGCAGAGCGGACACTGACCTGTCATCTACCTGCTCAGCAGGGATCAACAGACAGATTCCCTGCTGAGCAAGTGGATCATAGGCGATGTCCTTCCTTTATGAAAGGGGCCTCAAGCTTTGACACCTGATTTTTCACTCTCCAGTTTTAGTAAATAACCCCCAATGTGTTTACTTGTGTTGCAGTTTGTCTAGCTGTGTTTAGAGAAGATAGAATCCTGTGCATCCAGGATACAATTAGACAATCTAAATGTGGCTAAAGCATGTAAACGCATAAACTCACCTAAAAGTGGCTTAAAGTATTCCTAAACCCAGGACCCTGCATTCATTTTATCTGGTCTCCTGCAGTACACAGAACATGGAAATGCAATTATTTTAGTAAATCTAAACTGCTAGATATCTTTTCTCATCGACAGTTAGAGCAGTCTTGGGACTTCTATCAGTGTGCTCTACGGTTAGGAGGATGCAGGACCCCTGACCTTTGTCTGGACAGTTCTGATTGGCCCTATGCTGATCACATGCACTCTCCCAAGAAAAAAAAAATGCACACCAAACTGAGCATGTGCAGAGTGTCTCCACACCATATGTCTTATCAGGAGATAAGAGGGGGGCATTGGAAGAAGGGGAGGATCAGAGAAGACAGGCTCAAACAGCGTTTTTACACAATGCAGAGGATTAAACCCTTAGGTCACACGGTGAGTATAACAAGCATGCTTTACGGCATACACAGACTGATTTCACTGTTTAGTAACACTTTAACATCTAAAAGCAGGAAAAAACGATCAGGGAAGTATAAACGTTTTTAGAAAGGCTAAATACAGCAGTGTTTGTGCAAATTAGACCTTCAAATCTTTTTTGAAACCCAACTATAGTCCTATATTCTGGTGTGTGAAAGTTTAGGTTTTGTAACTTGCCAGGAATAATGACTGTTATGAACTGTCGTTTTTTTTTTTTTTTTTCCCACCAGACTAACTTTGTAACTATGTATTCACTTTGTGTTCTAATTGTTTAGTCCCACCAGAGGCTTTGTTGAATTGCATCGTATGAAGGGACATTCCAACTTTGTTTCCACTGTATGCTTTATACCTCCAAGTGATGCCTACCCACGTGGATTAGTTGCAACTGGTGGAAATGACAACAACATATGTGTGTTCAGCCTGGATAGTGAAAGCCCTCTTTATGTTTTAAAAGGCCATAAGAACACAGGTGAGTTTAGCCTGTTTTGTCCCCATTAGGCTGCGTGCACACTAATAATTCAGTTGTTACAATATTTTTTTTAATGGCATTTTTAACTAAATGTTTTTGTGATGCATCTTTAAAATACTTGTGTTTGTGTTATCTCAAGCATGTAAGCACAAATTGAGTTAAAATCTCTTCCAAGTAGAGGGGTGTTGAATAGTTGAATTTAATACTAGAGACCTGTGCACAGGAGCCATGTTTTGCTCCTTCTCCATGTCACATAAAGGGTTTAAATTTCATATGATTCCTGCTGCATTTGGCCATGCAAGCACCACCTGGTTCCACAAAAGGTTCACACCTAAACGTTTTTCAGTGCGTTTTCAGATTTGCAGAAATGCAATGCAGTCCATTTAACATGATTTCCTATGGATCACGTTCACATCTGTGCGTTGAAAGGGTCAGGGACTTTTTTGCCCACAGATTTAGTTTTTGGTTCCAGATTTGTTTTTTTACTTCAATGGAAATGCAAGAAAAACGCATGTATATGCATTTTTGGTGCGTTTCCTGCATGACAGACACCTCTCGCTAGCAACGTTAATACATCCCAAAAAAACATTAAAACCTCTTCAAAAATGAAAACCACACTGCAAAATGCACCGGAAAAATGCATCAACTGCAGCCCGCATAGGTGTAAATCTAGCCTACATTTTAGTAAGCCAGATAGAAAATTATTAGCAAAACAATGGCTGCTTCCTAACAACTGTGCCACTGTTTAGCAGCACCATTGTTAGGTGCTAAACAGTCCTACATGCAATCACTGGCTGTACAATTGGCGGTGGACAACTGCAGCTCCTGTCAGCCTGTCATTGCTCTGTACAGGCTTCTCAGCCACAGCAACTACCTGTGTTTGCAGTAGCAAGAATCCTTAGATATTTGCCTTTGGGATTCCACTGCCAGACCAAATTAGCCTGCATGAATGAGGCCTTAGATAGAGAACAGAAACCGGCAACTGATTAAAAATGAAATTAAAGGCAAACTGCAGGCTGCATTTTTTTTTTGTTCATTAATGGTAGTAGGTGTGAAAAAAGGTCTGTGGAGCCCCAAGCTGAGCTTTAAAGCAATCCACAAAAGGAATATGGGGTAGTTCATCTTAATGGATAATTAAAGGTAAAACTTTTTTTTTTTTTTTTTTATAGCTTTTGGAGTGGAGAGATAGTGGAACCTTTTGTCAGGCCTTTACTTCAGTCTTTGCCCCTTCTCTGTTTTGTCCTGTTTACTATTCTTACATTAACAGTGAGAGTAAAGGAAAATCCAAAATTTTGGGCTGTCACTTTAACAGTGACAGAGGGGAAATATTCCAATGGGGATATTAGTTCTGGTGAAGCCCAGGAATTTCCTCCCTCTGGAGAGATTTCCTCTCACTTCCTGTTTGGCTATGGGACACATGAAAAAAAAAAAAAAATCCAAGAGCTATAAACCTTCTCTTACTGTATCCAAAATGAAAGAAATGTTTGCCTTTTAGTCTACTTTAGTCCAGTCACCCCCCCCCCCCCCTCCATCATTCGCTCCCTCACCCACATCTTCAATCTTCTCTCACCGGCACCTTCCCCTCCCCTCTAAAGCACGCACACATCACCCCCATACTCAAAAAAACCCTCCCTTGACCCCACTAACCTTACCTTAGACCCATCTCCCTGCTGCCTTTCACCTCCAAGCTCCTTGAGCGCCTGGCCTACAATCGCCTAAGCGCCCACCTCACTCATAACAACCTCCTTGACCCCCTACAGTGTGGTTTCCATCCCCTGCACTCCACCGAAACCACCCTACTTAAAATCACCAACGACCTGCTAACCGCTAAAGCCAATGGCCACTATTCTATCCTCCTGCTCCTCGACCTCTCCCGCGGCCTTCGACACTGTTGACCACCCTCTCCTCCTTGCCAAACTGCACTCCCTTGGCATCAGGGATGCTGCTCTCTCCTGGTTCTCATCCTACCTTTCCCAACGCTCCTTCAGCGTCACCTACAACACTACCACCTCCCCCTCTCTGTCGGTGTCCCCCAAGGCTCTGTGCTCGGGCCCCTCCTCTTCTCCATCTATACCTCCTCCCTTGGCAAACTTATTCACTCCCATGGCTTCAATTACCCCTCTATGCCGACGACACCCAAATTTACCTCTCCACCCCCCACCTCACCCCCTCACTCTCTGCCCGCATCGCCCACCTCCTAAACGACATATCAGACTGGATGTCGCTCCATTTCCTCAAACTTAACCTATCCAAAACCGAGCTCCTGGTCTTGCCCCCCCCCCCCCATCCTCTCCATCACTACTAACAACGCCACCATCTCTCCCACCCCACACGCCAAAGTCCTGGGTGTCACCCTGGACTCCCACCTCTCCTTCCTACCCCACATCCAACTGCTATCTATCATTGCAGGCTCCACCTCCGCAACATCTCCAAGATACGTACATTCCTCACCCCAGACACCACCAAACAACTCGTACACTCCCTCATCATCTCACGCCTGGACTATTGCAATTCCCTTCTCACTGGACTATCCCAAACGAACGCTATCCCCACTCCAGTCGATCCTAAACTCAGAGGCTAGACTCATCCACCTCACCAACCGCTCCACATCTGCCTCCCCCCTCTGCCAATCCCTTCACTGGCTCCCGATTGCCCAACGCATCAAATTCAAACTGCTAACCCTGACCTACAAAGCCATTCACAACGCCGCCCCAAACTACATAACTGACCTGATACCCAAATACTACCGTACCCATGCCCTCCGCTCCTCACAGGACCTCCTACTCTCTAGCTCCCTGGTCTCCTCCTCCCATGCCCGATTGCAGGACTTCTCTAGGACTTCCCCCATCCTCTGGAATTCCCTACCCCAATCCATCAGACTGTCACCCACCCTCCTCACCTTCAGGCGCACCCTGAAAACCCTCCTCTTCAGGGAAGCCTACCCCACCCTCACCTAACACTGACCTCACCTAACAACCTCCTCCACTCCTCCCACCACTCCATCCCCCACAGCCATTTTCCTCCTGTACCACCTTCCCCTCCCTCCTAGATTGTAAGCTCGAAAGAGCAGGGCCCTTGAACCCCTCGTGTACTGTTTTGTTACTGTCTTGTCTCATGTTATGTCCCCCTGCTACTGTACAGCGCTGAGCAAACCCTTTGGCGCTATATAAATACTGTATAATAATAATACTTTAAGAGTAATATGTTAGCTGATATTGCTGGCCCCACTCAAAAATTGCTAAATGCTTGGTTGTTAAACTCCTAGCTTAAAGTGCTTCTAAAGGCTCAAGGTTTTTTTTTTTACGTTCATGAATTGTATGAATGAAAGTAAAAAAAAACCTTCTTTGTGTAGCAGCCCCCCCAAACCCTCCCTAAAACTTAGAAGAAATGAAAGAAAAGTATCCTACTAGGTCAGAACGATTATATGTAAACTATATTATCAAGGTATATGGGTGGGAGCTGTCCACAATATTGAGAATTCAAAAGCGAATGTCATAAAAACTGGACTCAAACCAATCCCAAGTTTTATACAACCAATAATTTAAGCCAGAAGCCCCCCTAACACTTACCTGAGCCCCATCCCGATCCAGCAATGTCCACAAGAGCCTCGGTTCCTGATTGGATAAGGCAGGAGCCATTGGCTCCCACAGAGGTCAATCACAGCTAGTGAGCCAATCAGGAGAGGGAAGGAGTGGGACCAAGCCATGGCTGTGTGTGTGAATGGATACACAGAACTGTGGATCGGGAGCTTGCCTGCGGATGCCCCCATAGCAAGCTTCGGTAGTGCTGCTGGGGGACCCCAGAAGAGAAGGATGTGGGCTGCTCTGTGCAAAACTACTGCACCGAGCAGGTAATTGTGACATGTTTGTATCACTTTAACACCTGGAACTAGTGTGTCCATGCAGCTACTACTTCTTAATTGACAGCAATAGGCTTCCTGCATGCATCCTTGTGCTGGTAAACACAGCTCTTCACAGGAGTATGGTTATGTACACCCCGTGTGAACGAGGCCTTATTCTGAGTCAGTAACTCAGACTTTAGGACCCAGTCACACTAGTGTAATTTCTCCTGTCTCTGCTGTTGCACTTCAGTGCATGACAATGGAAATCATATTACCTTCGATGATGCCTAGTCACATCAATGCAAGATGATGCAGTGAAGGTTTTTTTTTTCCTTTTTTGTTAAGAAATGTAGATGCTGCTTTTGGTGCAGCATAGTACATTTGTGGTCCTATAGTCTATATAAAGAGCGCTTGAAAAATGCATGTGCATGCGTTTTTTGGCAGGGTTTTGTGTATAAACAATCGGCAAAACAATGCAAAGCATGAAAATGTATCAATAACACACCAAAAAAATGTATGATTATTATGTAGCAGCTAGTATGAACCTAAGCTGAAAACAAAATGTCAGTGTAACAGTCTGGCAACTAGTCACGTTTGTAACAGATTTCCTTTAAAGCGGTTGTAAAGGTTAATTTTTAAAAATAATGAACATGTTATACTAACTGCTCTGTAAAATAGTATTGCACACAGCAGCCCTAAATTTCCTCTTTTGGGGTTCCCCCATCAGTGTCGTCTGCTCCTCCTCTTCTGAGTTCCCCATAGGAAACCGCTTGCTATGGGGGCATATGTGCGGGATCGTTCCGAAGCTGGGCTGTTTGTGTCCATAGACACACAGAGCGTGGCACGCCCCCAGCCCCCCCACCCCCCGCAGCTTGGCTAGCTCCCGCTGCTGCCTTCCTATCCTGTGAATTCAGGGAGAGAGGAGAGAGCTGCTACAGAGGGGCACAGTGCTGGATAAAAAAAATAGTCAAGACCTAGCAAGCGCACATGAAAGCAGCTATATGCACCAAAAGGAACCACAAAACCTTTCTGTGACAAGTAAGTATAAATAAAGTGCAGCGCTAAAATGATATCCTATAAAACACGAAAATGTATATAAAAGTCATATGTAAAACACCTCTATATAAGTATAAAAAATGAGTCCAAAGTTGAATATCGTGATGATTCTGTTGACCCAGTATGAAATCTGGTCCGGTATCCAGGTGAAAAAGAATGGAAAGATTGCCTACTCACCAGAAGCGCAATCTTAATGTGCATATAGAGATCTCAAATGGCTGGAGGTCCAGTGCAGGTACTGCCTGGTACTAGGAGGTCCCTCTGTATGGTTATGGGTATGCCGGTCTGGTCTGTGACTCCCTCCTTTGGCCTGGACAGGTCACCTGGAATCCTGGGCTGGGGTGTAAAAGCTCAGTACAGAGCAACAAATGTATAGATGCTCATAGTGTAGTATTGAAAGAAAATTGAGCATAAAGATATAAAGTGTAGGTGGTGTACATGCACAGCGTGACTGTGAGTATAAGCAGCAATGCAGCATAAAGCTGCTGAATACACTATAATGCATCACCCCTACAGTAGACGTATTATTATACAAAACGCGTCTAGGAGGAGCCCTTGCATGCCTTGACGTCACGCCGCCAGATCAGGGAGGTCGGCGGCCACTTTTTTTTTTTTTGTATACTGGTCAGTGTATTCAGCCGCTTTATGCTGCATTGCTGCTTATACTCAGTCACCCTGTGCTTTTATATACCTGTGTATGTACACCACCTACACTTTATATCTTTATGCTCAATACATTTCTTTCAATACTACACTGTGTATGTACACCACCTACACTTTATCTCTTTACGCTCAATACATTTCTTTCAATACTACACTATGAGCATCTATACATTTGTTGCTCTATACTGCGCTTTTACACCAGGTGACCTGTCCAGGCCAAAGGAGGGAGTCGTAGACCAGACCGGCATACCCAAGCGCATTAAGATTGCGTTTCTGGTGAGTGGGCAATCTTTCCATTCTTTTTCACCTGGATACCGGACCAGATTTCATACTGGGTCAACAGTCAAAAAAGTGTACCTAAACAAAAAATGCTACATTATGGAAAACATTGTTCCTATTTTCTTTTTTCTTTTAGTGTGCAGTCTTTCTTCTGGCAAGTTTGGAACCTTATTAAGTGGATCATGGGACACAACTGGAAAAGTGTGGCTGAATGATAAGTGCATGATGACCTTACAGGTGACGGCCTGTTCTACTGTTATTTGTCATACAATTTCAAGATAGAAATGCAGTTTGCTTAGGTTTCGTTTATCAGTCTAGATTTACATATCGTTGGTAAAATGTTCAAGTGCATGCAAGGCGTATGAGTCATTCTTAGCAATGAGGAAAATAACAAACACTCTTGCTTCCTTTTTATAATAATCTCCGTCTTTTAAAATTGGTATGTTGAAGGGATATTTATGCATTATATATTTTCATGCTTTTGATGGGAGACACATTGCTAGATGATAAAAGGCTAGCTTACCATTAAAGCTGTGTTGGAATCCAAGAATTTAATGCACCTAAGGCTTCATCAGAATTTGCCATATATTTGATTTGATACTAGTTTACTCAGAGTTACACAATTGGAGAATGAATGGGAGCATCTCATTAGAAAATACAAACCTCTCTTCAATTTTCTTCAGAAGCTGGAAAATATGCCTGGCGATAGCTCATTCCTCAAGCCATTGTGCTGTGCTTGGGCTTCTAGTGTGTCCTTTCAAATGTTGTGCAATCAAAACCCGTTTTTAACTGAAATTGTGTCTCTTTCTGGCTATCTGATAAGTGTGCTAGGACATTTATGCCTAGGGCTTGTTCTGTTCATAGCCCTTCCATGTGCACCTTAGTTTAAAAAAGCTAGTTATAAATTGACTGGTGCCATTGCTTTCTGTAAACATCATGTAATCTGTTCTTCAACGCATAATTAATTGCTGTGTAATAATGTGTAAAAAGCAGTTATGAGATGCAAACCGCAGCATTAGCAAGCAAAACCTTTCTTTGAGAGGCACTGATGGAAGTAGGAATGAGGCAGTAAACGCTTTTAAAAAAAAAACAAACAAAAAAAAAACCCTTGCAGTGCCCCCCTTCCCCACAATGCAAGGGGCTCATTAGATTTTTGGGGAAGGCTACATTACTTGTCTTAACCCTGTTCATGCCCCCTCTGGTGCTCTGAACTGTGGGTGGTCCAGCAGCAAAATCATGTACAAGGCAGGTCTATCACCCTGCTTTGTATGTTGAGGAGTGCAACTGTGGCCTGGAGCAGCTAGAAAGGAGTCTTTGTGGGACTGATAAGTACTTACTTTTCTACCCCTAGACAAAAATGAGCAAAGTTAGTCCTTTTTTTATTTTTTTGTGCCCAGAGTTGAGCTTTAAAAAATTAACATGGCTCAAAAGTTGGTGAAAGGCTGCATCCATAAGAACCTAAATCTAATTACCCAGATTGATTGCTTCCCTTGAGGGAAGTCAGCTGATGAGCATCTGCTTGACCCATAGACATGTGATTTATTGCCTGATTCAGACATAAATGATCTGTGATACACAGAACTGAAACAAATCCTCCTACACAAGTTGTACCAGTGTATCGTTAGTGGTCTTTTCTGTGCAGCCATTCAAAGTGCAAAATTTACACAGGATCTCTCAGCTCAGAAAAGCAGGAGGTGAAGTTCTACACTGCAGTGCTCCGTGAGAGCTGATTAGAGGGAAGGGACACAGCCCCCCCCCCCCCACAGCACACTAGAACAGAACTGAAGCTGTCAATCACAGGGTGTGTGCTGGCGATCCTTCCTATCACCATTTTTCTCTTCTTGTCAGGAAAATCTTGTTAGAAGTGACTTGTACAGATAGCAGAGGAATGAGGCAGCAGGCAGAAATGACACTGAAGCCGGCCATACATGAGTCCAAAACTAAAAGAAATTTGTGTTGATCGTCTAATTGTTCGTTTTTTGCATCATTAGGGTGCCAGCTGTGACACACTCCTTTCGTTCCACAGTTGAAAGTGCCTGATCTAACATGCCGTGTGTGGGGGTGTTTTTTTTCTTTTACAATCGCATGAGCAATTTTGTTTTTTGATAGAACGTTCGACTTTAAACTCCTCTATGGCCGGTTTTAGTGCTCTGCCTTGAGATAAGTAAACTGTATAGAGGGATATGTTTTGTTCATATTTCATGTCTGAGGTTTAAAGCACATCTAGTATACTGGTTGTAGATGCTTTTGTGAATATAGTGGAAAGACATTTGCACCATGGTAAACCATTTGACTGACTTTTTTAAATATGTGAATTAGAAGACCCAGGATATAACATTATTTTTTTTTTTTTTCTTTCCTTCATAGGGCCATACAGCTGCTGTATGGGCTGTGAAGATTTTGCCTGAACAAGGTTTAATGTTGTCTGGATCAGCTGACAAGTCCATCAAGCTATGGAAAGCAGGACGGTGTGAGAGGACATTCTTAGGTGTGTTAAGATGAACATCAAAGACCTGTGATTACCTTATTTAAATACCAGATGCTCATAACCTTCAAACGGCATTTATTCATTAACCACTTCCAGTCCGGACACTTTTACCCCCTTCCTGTCCAGGGCAATTTTTCAGCTTTCAGCGCTATCACACTTTGAATGACAATTGCGCGGTCATGCAACACTGTACCCATATGAAGTTTTTGCCTTTTTTTTGAGACAGATAAAACTTTATTTTGGTGGTATTTATTCACCGCTGGGATTTTTTTTTTTTTTTTTTGCTATCTAAATGAAAATGTCCAAAAATTTTGAAAGTGTTTTTCTTATAAAATTTTGCAAATAGTATTTCATCATAAATCTTGGCCAAAATTTATTCCGTTATCTTTTTAGAAAAATAAGCCAAATTAGTTTCTACCAAAAATATTATAATTTTTAAACTTTTTTTTTTTTATATTTATTTTTTTACATACTGTCACCCTAGCAGTACAGTGTCATCATGGTGACACTGTACTACTTTTGGGGGGTGATGAAGATTTTTTTTTTTTTTTTTTTTTACACACTGCTTTTACACCCATATAGGATGTAAAAGCAATAATTTCTCTTTCTCTCGGTCTGCATTCTTGTAACCATTGAGAACTACTGAGTGAGCTGTGATTGGTCACAGCTTGTCACATGGTACAAGGCTGTTGTGAATAGCCTTGTACCATGTGACCTCTGTGATCATTCACAGATTTCATACGTAGTAAGCAATGATGTCACAAGTGACATCTTGCTTACTACTTTGCATGTGATCACTGATTGGCCAATCAGTGATCACATGATCGGGACCTCGTACAGAGGTCCCGTCCGACGATTGGTGTTTCACTGTGTCCGGAGGACACAACAGGCAACGGATCCCGGTGCTGCACACTCCCGGGGAGCGCGCACAAGCAGGGTGCTGGGAGGCCGTTTATAAACGGCCACCCAACCCTGCAGTGCCACCGTCCGGCCGTTTTTATATCAGGAAGTGATTAACCTGTTATATGGACAGGAAAATGTCAAAAGGCAATTTTTTTTTTTTTCTCCAGATCTTTTGTATGCATGGCTGTGGGTAGATGGGCTGAGCACATTAGTTTCAGGTCTATTGTAGTTAAACAGAGCTGTTGAAGGTCTCTAAGGAGCAACACTCTTGTTGCAAATATAACAAATGTGTATCAATTAAACAATGTAAATGGGACTATTTGATATCCTTAAGTATCACCTAAGCTAAATTAGTCATTTTGTTTGTGTTTCTCTTGTGTGGTATTTGGCCTGAGGCATCATTGATTTGGACTGTTCATAGACCTTGCATGTTATGTAAAGCGGAGACACTTTAATATGTATTGCAATTGTTGATCTGTTATCTCTTACAGGCCAACAATCTGTAAGCAATAAGGTGACTTGGGAAACTTAGAACATCTTATACTGATGGTGTCAGTAGGTCACATGAAAGTGTTGTATGTTAGCAGTCGAAGTTCTTAAAGCTACAGTTCATAAAATGGCTCTTTGTTTGTTATTGCGATTTTAATTTATTCCAACAGAATATATAGTACATTATGGTATGCTAGATTTTCAGTTGTTAAAAACAGAGCTATATAAATGATATCCCTTTTCAACTAGCAAGAGTTAGGGATTAGGTTCAAACTGCTTCAAATTTTGGTTTCAAGGAGGATGTCTGAGATTTGTGTTTGTGCCTGATTCTGAACTCTTGGCCAATACTTTTTTGTGCTAGAAGTCAAGAATAACCCATAATGCACTGCTTAGCCTTTGTCCCGGCAGCTGAGTTACAAGGGCTCTTTTACTATAAAAGGTGGGGTTACAGCAGCCATATTGTCAGTATATGTTGGTGCTGTTAAGGAATTATGACTACTCTATATATGAAGAGGTACTGTGCATACAGTGGCTGAATTGAAATCCTGCTCCAAAGCACCGTGTTCAGCTTTAAGACCTGTCCCAAGCATGTGATTTAAAGTATTTGTGTATTTTCAATGTTGCCCCCGAAGATGTTTGAAAAGGCCATTCACCTCTGTATGTTATTTTAAAAAAACAATGTTGAGGTACACTCCTTTTTTGTCAATGCTCGATTAGTCCTACAGGAGGCCAGAGTTTCATAACAAGGTTCCCTACAAAATTTTGAACAAGATTTGCAAACAAGCATGCTAATGGCAACAGGACCTGTTCGATCATTGTTGTAAGTTTGTTGTGTTTAAATGATCTATAAGAATGATTGTCTATATCTAACTGCAGCTGATTACCATGAGCCTTTTTTTTTTTTTTTTTTTTTTAAACAATGTTTTAGGACACGAAGATTGTGTACGAGGATTGGCAACAGTAAATGAGTCTGAATTTCTGTCTTGTTCCAATGATTCTTCTGTGAGGAGGTGGCTGATTACTGGGGAATGTGTACAAATCTACTACAGTCACACAAATTATATTTATAGTATATGCCTTTTTCCAAATTCCAGAGGTAAGAAATAAATCTGTATAGCAGTTGTACATGACTACTTGGGGTTGCCTTTCATATTTGTACATAATGAAACATTTCACATCAGAACTGTTATTTTATAGGATATTAATTTTCAGTGTCAGAAAACTGCCCATAAAGAGATTGTAAAGTAACATTTTCACTGCTTACAGTCTTAGGCTAGGTTCACATCTGTGTGGGTGATTGCCGCTGCAGGACCACACCTTTTATCGCAACCACCCGCACAGAAAAATGCAGGAAATGTGTGTGGGTGCCATTAATCCTAATGGCATGCCTCATGTAGTGGAACCACACTGCACTTACGGTTCCCGTGCAGGCTGCAATTTCTAAAATACTGCAGGGACCTTTGCCCTGTGCTTCAGGAGGTACGGCAGCCCATTCAAATGAATGAGCTGCCATGCCTATGCAAATTGCAGCTCGCAGAGACACAATAGTGTGAATCTAGCCTTAGTGTAAAGGTGATTTCCAGAATCCTGTCAAGTTAAACTCTCATTGCCCCCATCCCACTCCATTGAAGCCCTTATTTTGATATTATGCACTTATGATGGCCAGCTGAAACAGAAGTGTGTAAATTAGAATAAATAAATTTAAAGCGGAGTTCCACCCAAAAGTGGAAGCTCCACTTATCTGCCTCCTTCCCCCCCCTCCGCTGCCACATTTGGCATCTTTTATGGGGGTGGGAGTGGGTACCCACTCCAACTTCCGGCTCAGTTTGCTGCGTTCCTAACCCCCAAGCCCCCCCCCCCCCCCCCCCCCCCCCCCCTTTGCAGCCCTCTCGGAACATCAACAGGTCACAGAGGACTGCGGCCCAGTCACACAGCACACGCACAGTGGGAAACCCGCTGTGAACCCGCAAGGTTTCCCTTGGTCAAGATGGTGGAACCAGCACCCGACATCCGATTGAAGAATCTGCTTGGGGTGAGGATACTGCTGGATCCCTGGACAGGTAAGTGCCCTAATATTAAAAGTCAGCAGTCAACAGTATTTGTAGCGGCTGACTTTTAATTTTGGTTGGGGGCTGAAATTCTGCTTTAAAATGTTTTAGACTGTAGCTGTGCTATGAACAAGTAGTTCCAGCTGTATAACTGGGCATAAAAGAATGATATGGATACTTCTGTTCACTATCTTTTAAATGATGAATAAACAATTTATTATGGGATATATTCTAGAAGTAGTGAAATGTAAATACTTTGTTTAAAGTGGTAGTAAAGTCTTGGAATTGAAAATCCGCCGACAGACAGGATTTTTATAACGGAAGAGACCCTAGTGGTCTCTTCTGTCATAAATGTCCCCTCCTGCCATGTGCGTGGAGTAACGTCACCTGCAGCTCGACCATTCAAGCAGCTGAAGATCGAGAACCTGAAAGGAAGACCATGCGAAAATGAAAGCCACCGGAGACTAGGAAGAGCCCTGTCAGCGCAGCGCTGGAGGGCTACATCTGCAGGCAAGTCTGTCATAATGTACTAGTGCATTATGACCTAAGCCTGCATGGGGACCATTTTTTTTTAAATCAAGAACAAGACTTTATTACCGCTTTTAAGGAAGTCTCTGCTTTGCTGTGGTGCAGCCATAGCATATTTTGGTCCTGTGGAAGAATAATGGTACTCCGACCACAATGCACTGTAAATAAGTGGGTTGGGATCTTTGGAGGAAGCGGGTATATCTATGTGGGGATTTCTTGCCTTCTTTAATCTATCTCCTCTTTAAAAAGTCTTGTTTTTACATTCACAGAAATTGCTTGAGTGCCACAAATTTCACTTGAAAAACATAGTTTAGGGGAAGGGTATTATGCATAGCTTCTGGTTCCCACTTTCAACTTCCAGTATGGTGTGTCTGCACAGGCAAGACAAACAAACTGACATTTTTAAAAGGAACTTATTGAAGGGAAAATGGTATCCAGTAAGTTCATCTGAAGGCAGGGAATGTTATGGTACCTTCTGTTCGGCTGTGATAGATGACACTAAACAGAGCCTAGCTCTGCTCAAAAAAAAGTAAAATGACACCAGACATCACAATTCAGAATGCCAAAGGTCCGTAAATTATTAATTACAATTTAATAAATGATTAATTTCAGCAAAAAATAAACCGTTTTAGTAGCTGGTTTTGTCTAAAATTAAAAACGCAAAAGAATCAAAAGATGGTAGCAATAGAAAATTTTATATTTATTGAATGGCATCTCAGATGCCCTCATGCCCTGTGATAAGGCTGGGAGTAAAAATTCCAAATAAATTTTATACAATGCAAGGAAAAAAATCACAGAAAATAAGGGTAGCGATTTGAAAGAGGACCTAAAGGAGCAAGGGATTAAAAACTTATGGTAGACTAAGATAGGATACATTTGTGCAGAATGCAAGGGCCCTTTAAGATTGCCTTGTTAGAGAGTGAGGGAGAGAGAGAGAGAGAGAGAGAGCATGCACACATACATACATACGTTGGTATGTATGCAGTATATGTGTGTGTGTGTGTATGTATATGTGTGTGTGTGTGTGTGTATATGTATATATATATATATATATATATATATATTCGGCTTGTTGGTTTGAATCCCAGCCAACTGGAGTTTGCGGGTACTCCGGTTTCCTTCCACACTCCAAAGACATGCTGGTAGGTTAATTGGCTCCTGGCTAAATTGGCCCTAGTATGTGTATGTATGAATGTGAGTTAGGGACCTTAGATTGTACAACCCCTGAGGGTTAGGGACTGATGTGAATGTACAATATATGTGTAAAGCGCTGCGTAAATTGATCGTGCTATGTAAGTACCTGAAATAAATATATGTATAAAATAAAAATACATGTCTCAAAGACCTAAAAAAGGGGGGTAACAACCTGCAAGAAGAGTAAACAGTCAGATTATACACTATGGCCCTAACTGGTGGTGACCATTGAATGAATCCAGAAATTCATATGGAGTTCCTTTCAATTATCTACAGTATGTACACTGGACGTAAAAAGTCTACACACCCCTGTTTAAAATGTCAGGTTTCTGTGATTTAAAAAAAATGAGACAAACATAAATCATTTCGGAACTTTTTCCACCTTCAGCCTGGATTCACACTGATGCGATTCAGAATTTGCAGCGTTTTGTGTGCGAATTTTGCACCGCATCAGAATCACACCCCGTTTATGCGAACCGCTGCGGGAGTGTATGTTAGGTTAACAACACCCTGAAATTGGTCCGCAAAACATGGTGCGATGTGCAGAATTGGATCACATAGGTGTGAATACCCATGCGATCCGATTCTAGTGTGCACCAAAAAAAGGGTCCTGCACCTTTTTGGTGTGGATGCAGTGCGATTAGAGCTATATAAAATGTATGGCTCCAATCACGCCGCACACAAATCACGTGATTTGCACAGGGATGCGGTTCCTGTGCGAATTACATGCGATGTACCACAGCGCATATACGTGAACCTGGGCTTAATGAAACCGATAAACTGTACAACTCAGTTGAACAATAAACTGAAATGTTTTCGGTGGAGGGAAGTAAAAATCAAAAACTAAAATAATATGGTTTCATAAGTGTGCACACCCTTAAACTAATACTTTGTTGAAGCACCTTTTGATTTTATTACAGCACTCAGTCTTTTTGGGTATGAGTCTATCAGCATGGCACATCTTGATTTGGCAGTATTTACCCACTCTTGCAAAAACACTCCAAATCTGTCTGATTGCAAGCATATCTCCTGTGTACAGATCACCCCACAGATTTTCAATCGGATTTAGGTCTGGGCTCTGGCTTGGCCAGTCCAAAACTTTAATCTGGTGAAGGTATTCCATTGTTGATCTGGATGAATGCTTTGGGTCATTGTCATGCTGAAAGATGAAGTTCCTTTTTCTTGTTCAGCTTTCTAGCAGAAGCCTGAAGGTTTTGTGCCAATATTGACTGGTATTTGGAACTGTTCATAATTCCCTCTACCTTGACTAAGGCCCCAGTTCTAGCTGAAGAAAAAACAGCCCCAAAGCATGATGCTTCCACCACCATGCTTCACTGTGGGTACGGTGTTCTTTTGGTGATGTGCAGTGTTGTTTTTACGCCAAACATATCTTTTGAAATTATGGCCAAAAAGTTCAACCTTGGTTTCATCAGACCATAACACATTTTCCCACATGCTTTTGGGAGACTTCAGATGTGTTTTTGCAAAATGTAGCCAGGCTTGGATGTTTTTCTTAAGAAAAGGCTTCTGTCTTGCCACTCTGCCCCATAGTCCAGACATATGAAGAATATGGGAGATTGTTGTCACATGTACCACACAGCCAGTACTTGCCAGATATTCCTGCAGCTCCTTTAATGTTGCTGTAGGCCTCTTGGCAGCCTCCCAGACCAGTTATAGTGTCATCTTCTCATCAATTTTGGAGGGACGTCCAGTTTTTGGTAATATCACTGTTGCGCCATATGTTCTCCACTTGATGACTGTCTTCACTTTGTTCCATGGTATATTCAATGCCTTGGAAATTCTTTTGTACCCTTCTCCTGACTGATACCTTTTAACAATGAGATCCCTCTGATGCTTTGGAAGTTCTCTGCGGACCATGGCTTTTGCTGTAGGATGCGACTAAGAAAATGTCAAGAAAGACCTATTAGCACAGCTGAACTTTTTGGGGGTTATTCAGAAACACTTTAAATGGCAGGTGTGTACTCGCTCCTACTTAACATGATTTTGAATGTGATTGCTTAATTCTGAACACAGCTACATCCTCAGTTATAGGGGGGTGTGCACACTTATGCAACCACATTATTCTAGTTTTTTTATGTATACTTCCACCCCTAAAAAAAAATTTCAGGCTTTTTTTTTTTTTTTTTTTTTTTTTCAAATTCAGTTGTACAGTTTATAGGTCACATTAAAGGTGGAAAAAGTTCTCAATTGATTTATTGTTGTAATTTTTTTACATCACACAAACCAGACATTTTAACAGGGGTGTGTAGACTTTCTATATCCACTGTATATTTGCTTTTAGGGATCTGAAGTGATATATTTTTTTTTTTTTTTTCCTGTAAAAATAATGGTGTGCTTGTGCACTATTTTTTTTTTAGATTTTGTGACTACAGGAGAGGATAGATCAATGAGGATTTGGAGGGGTGGAGAATGCACTCAGACGGTCCGCTTGCCTGCCCAGTCCGTATGGTGCTGCTGTGTCTTGGATAATGGAGACATTGTTGTGGGAGCCAGGTATGATTCTTATTGAAATATAATAACAAGAAGTTAAAATACTGAGCTGTTCTGTGGACTCAGCTGCACTGTAAATACTGTATGTTATTTAGACCAGATACCGCAGCATGCCTATGATTACCTTTTGTAAGCTAGTAAATTCTGCTCTGTGTGCTCCTCCGATCACAACTTCACTTTGTTATTAGGCCTGACTGTCCAGTGGGAGCACCCTTATTGGTCACTGGGGCTTTTTCATTGGGCAGGTTATGGTCAGTTGACCGCAATTATCACCAGGTGAGGAGGGGCATGGTCAAAACATTAACAACAATGCAAAGCTAGGATCAGAAGTGCTAGCAGAGGAGGATTTCTAGCTAACAAAGGGAAAACATTCACCCTATGATTCCTGCTGTTTTGATTGGCTGTTACTTTTAAACATTTAAAAATGGCTGACAGATTAACTTTAAGTCCAATGTAAAATAGACTAAACCGCTCAAGTGCCACATCCATCAATACCAAATATATGTCAAACGAAAAAGAGATGTAGGGATTTACTGGCTGACTCACTCTACCACACAATAGCAATAAATATATCCAGGATTGATTGTATTGCATATACAACAGAGATCGTGCTGGTGAGTCCTCATTGGTCAACTTTTTTTTTTTCTTATGCTTCCGCAGGACACATGAGATTACAGTAGAGGTTACTTATTTGAGTGTATATCCACAGTGTGGGTGGTCCCCTTGGGTGGGCACTGGAGCACATAGGGTGATAGGCAGCTGATCATTCACAAATAAATCTTGATCTGTTAGATTCCAGTTAATGGTAAGGCCGCCTTGTTTATAACTGGATATGTAATGCTGAGGATAATAGATGGCATGCATGTCAATACCGCTGGTGAATAAGATACAGTCCCTGTTATAATATAATGGAGTCTCAGTGAGGCACTGTTGGTTCCAGCTGGTTGGATTATATGTATCATAAATATCGGGGGGGATGGGGGGTCGCGATGCTCTGTTCTCTTCCATGTTGTGTCCAACTATTGGGAGGCTTATATTGGCTTCTTGTGCTGCTTCTACCTCTCCCAGTCTTGGTACTGCTGTACAGTATTGCAGGAGGCTGATACTAGGACAAATTAAGGTTCTGCTTGTATTTATAAAAAATACATGTAGTGATCCCCAATAAATATAGAGCCATTTTGTGTCTTTTTAATATCCGCCTAGAATCCAACATTAATACAATGCAAAATATTTCTGACAAAAACAAAGCATGCAAAGAAAAAAAGCATGTGTATTTTCTGTTTAGTGATGGTATCATCCGAGTGTTTACAGAGAGCCAAGAGCGGACGGCTAGTGCTGAGGAATTGCAAGCATTTGAAGATGAATTGTCACAAGCAACTATAGATCCAAAAATTGGTGACTTGGGAGACATCAAAATAGAGGAGCTTCCAGGAAAAGAGCACCTAAGTGAACCAGGTGGGTGCAATTAAATACAGATGTATGTGGGTCTCGGTATGTTTTATTCAGTACACATTTTGAGTTGTTATTAAAGTAATGGTTTATTTTAAGGATAAGTTCATAACCTTTTGGAACAGGTTACATCTTCCACACGTTTTAGGGTGGAACATGTTCCAGCATATGCAGCACAAACCCCCAATCCCTCAACCCCCCCCCCCCCCCTCCTGCGACAGCAGGCGGGGATCTTCTCCCTGCATCCGTCACAATTTGAAAAATGCACGTCCATCTGGGGCTCTGCCCACGCTACTGAATCATTCATTCACAGATTCCTTTGGATGAATAGCCTACAAGTACCGTTCGCCATTGCGGCTGATGGCTTATAGTTCTCAATGAACTATGAGGGCACTGGTGAATGATCTGGTAGTTCATTGATTCTTCCTGCTCTCAAGTAACTGCCTGCCTGTATGAGGTACAGGTAGACTGCTATCTTGTGAGTCTGCAGTAACCTAAGATTGCACCGACGATCTGCTGATCACAGGTGCAATGCTCTGCAGGATCCTTATAGATAAAAAATAATAAATGCACTTTTTTTTTTTTTTTTACTTGCAAAACAATGTGCATTTATTATTATTTTATTTTTTTCAAAAGGTGAGCTTATCCTTTAACTCCATCAGAATCCTCACATTTGAAATGTAATGAATTGAAGCACAGCATGTTGTGAGGGATATGGACATCTGACAGTCCTGGAAGAGGTCTTAGTCCTGCAAAAGTGTGAAAATCAGAGGAACGAGTGGCAGGACAAGAGTAAAGGTCTTAATTTGCAGGTGAAGTGTGTTAAGAAATAAAAAAAAAAAAAAAAAAAAAGCATCAGTCACTCTTGCTTCCTTTCTTGTTTGCTTGCTGTTCCATGTTTAGAGTTTTAAAATTAATATACAGAAACATAAATGTTGCCCATAGTAGACAACCATATATCAGGCAATGTAATTAAGTATTACAATGCTTAAGAACAGCTGACATAGGATCCGTTCGTATTGGAGAGAGTCTACTATAGAGAGCACTACGCAGAGAGTGATCAACCGTGGTGCAACGTCACAGTGCAGTTCACCAAAGCAGAAAGTAGAACTTACATTTGAAATGAGCAAATATGGCTGTCCCATGTACAATTATGTTTATAACCTGTATGCAGAACCTAGGATTGTAAAACATTGACAGTCACTAATAAAGTAATTTTACATTAAGCTTATTACATTGTTCTATATAACTAATAAAGCTATAAAAAAGACAATGGTTTCCTATCAATAGAGTGTCAAAATATTCACGTTTTATTTACATTTTAATTGAGGTTTTTTGTTGCTGTATGTTGTGAGTATTTTGTTAAGTAGCATTGGGTCTTCAATTTTAATGGCAAGGGACTCGTACACTTAGGGTTAGTTCTTATGAAACCATGTGCTTTTAGCTTAGAGTAAGCCCCTTTTTTTTTTTTTTTTTTTTTTTTTTATAGGTACTAAAGAAGGACAGACCCGTTTAGTAAATGATGGTGGTAAAGTGGAAGCGTATCAATGGAGTGTTGGTGAGGGACGCTGGATGAAGATTGGAGATGTAGTTGGTTCTTCAGGAGCTACTCAGCAAACTTCTGGGAAAGTCCTGTTTGAAGGAAAAGTATGAACCTACTTTGTTTTGCTTAAAATATCTTCAGAGACATTTCAGATTTACAGAGAACTTGTCAACATACAGCTTGCTATGCAGCCAGAGACAATGTATTCTAGCATAGCATACAGAATTTTTAAAGTAACACTAAAGGCTCAGGTTTTATTAAGAAAAAAAAAAAAAAAATATGTTATACTTACCTGCTCAGTGCAATGGCTGTTCTGGCTCTCTTCCCCCCCCCCTTCCCCCCAGGGGGAACACTCGTGCATGCTTGCTCCTGAGCTGCCTCTTGAGTCCATAGGACAGACCGCAGCTTGGCCCCACACCCTGCTCCCTCCTCACTGACTAAATGCTCCCACTGCTGTGTCTCAACCAATGAGGAGGGAGAGACCTGGAAGAGCTGCTTCTCTTGTGCACATCGCTGGCATTGGGGGCTGTGGGTGGAGCAGCACACTGAAGGATTTTTTACCTTTTATGCATAGAATGCATGAAGGTAAATCTTTCAACCTGTAGAACCACTTTAAAGTTTACTCACTAGTGATTTCACCCAGTATTTGGGCACTGTGCTTCTATGATCACAGCTGACAGATTCTCTGGCTTTTACAGGCGTTCCGTGATTACTTCTGTATTTTTCTTGTTCTGTATAAGACAGGCATTTTGTACAGGTAGAAATCTGAACAGTTTTTTTATTTTCTCTTCTAGGAGTATGATTATGTTTTCACAATTGACGTAAATGAAAGTGGGCCTTCATACAAGCTGCCATACAACATTACTGAGGATCCATGGCTTGTGGCACACAATTTCCTGCAAAGAAATGACCTGAACCCAATGTTTTTAGATCAAGTTGCCAAATTCATCATTGATAACACTGGGGGACAGACCATATCTGCTACACCTTCTGGATTCTCTGATCCCTTTACAGGTAAATGTTGATGGAGATGTTTAGGCAATTAAGTGTCCTGTGAATCATGAGTTTTAATAAGGGGTTTTTAAATTTTCAGAGAAAGTAAACCACTGTTTTCTCTGTGTAATACTGCAAGTAAAATCTGATGTCCGTTATTATCTGGGTGGGTGACTGGGGCAAAGAGAAGGCAAATTAAATAAATTATTCAGCTCTGTGTAGACAAAGGAGCATAGGGGAGCTATGTCCATAATGGGAATTCTATTTTCATAGCCCGAAATGAACCACTATGGCTGAAAATTCATATGGTCCAGAAATAGACAGAATAAAGGTGAATCAAACACCTGGACCAGATGGTTTATACCCACATGTCCTAAAAGAATTGAGCCCTGTAATTTCAAAGCCATTGTTTCTAATTTTTAGGGACTCTTTAATGAATGGCATAGTACCACTGGATTGGCGTAAGGACAATGTGGTGCCTATATTTCAAAAGGATCAAAGTCTTTACCAAGTAATTATAGACCTGTGTTAGTTTAACTTCTGTAGTCGGGAAGATAGTTGAGAGTTTAGTAAAAGACCACATAGAAGGGTTTTTGCTAGAAAATATTTTAAACAATACTCCACATGGAGTAATGAAGGGCAGACGTTATTGTACAAATCTGATTTCTTTTAATCAGGAGGTAAATAAAAACTTAGACAAAGTAGTAGCTGTGGACATAGTATACTTGGATATTGCAAAAGCGTTTGACACAGTTCCTCACACACAGCTAAAGTGTAAGGAAAAGTCTACAGGCTTGGAAAAATCAGTTTGTAAATGGCTAGAAAACTGTCTAAAAGATCGTATTCAGAAAGTAGTGGTTAATGATTCATACTCTGAATGGTTGTTAGTGGTATACCCAAAGGCTCAGTGTTGGGACTCTTACTTTTTAATATATTTATAAATGATTTACGGTATGGGATTAAAAGTATAATTTCAGTCTTTGCAGATGACACCAAGCTGTGCAGTGGAATAACATCCTTACATGACGTCTCCAATTTACAAGTCAACCTCAATGCACTGTTTAATTTAGACAACTGTGGCAAATGCGGTTCAATGTTTATAAATGTAACATTAAGCTTTTGGGAGCTAAAAATACACATACGACAAACATGCTAGGAAGAGAACAGCTGGGGGAATCAATGGTGGAGAAGGATCTCTGTGTTTTGGTAGCTCATAAGCTTAATATTGGCATGCAATGCCAAGCTGCATTTTCTAAAATGCTCAAAATCCTTTCTTGTTTTAAGAGAGGTATAGACTCCAGAGAAGGAGCAAGACATTGCTTTGCCCCTGTAAAAATCATTAGTAATACCTCATCTGGAATATGCAGTTCAGTTTTGGGCACCAGTTCATAAAAAGAACATTGGGGAACTGGAGAAAGTGCAGAGACAGGCAACCAAACTGATAGGAGGCATGGAGGAGCTCCGCTATGAGGAAGGATTAGAGTAACTGAATTTTTTCTCTCTTGAAAAGAGATTAAGGGGGATATGATCACCATGTATAAATACTTAAGTGGTCCATATAGTGAACTTGGTTTAGAGTCATTAACTTTAAAGTCTTTACAGAGGATAAGGGGACATTCTTTACATCTGGAGGAAAAGAGATTTAACCTCCAAACATGGAAAGGCTTCTTAACAGAAAGCTGTGAAAATATGGAATATACTCCCTCAAGAGCTGGTTCTGACTAGCTCAGTAGACCATTTTATAAAAGAGCTGGATTCTTTTAGATGCACAAAATATAACTGGATACTAACATTTTATAAGTAAAGCTGATCCAAGGTATATCCAATTTACCTCTAGGGGGATCAGGAAAGATTCCCCAAAGGGAATCATGCTTTATTGGGTTTTTTTCCCTTCCTCTGGGAGGTGTGTGTAGATTGTATATAATTTTCTTCCCCCTTCTATTGGTTGAACTAGATGGACTTTTTTTGCCTTTTTTTTTTTTTTTCCAACCAGACTAACTACGTAACACAAGCACAATTATCGTTAATAAAATGTCATCCTGTTGAGCATAAGGCATATTGAGTCCTTTTCAGCATTTTGTGTAAGAGTTGTGAAATAGTGGACCTTTCTTTCAAAATACAGGAATAGATATTTAGCAATGACCGGATGTCATCCATTCTGCAAATTTCAATCATCTATAAAGCATTATGTACTCTTTTACAGGTGGTGGACGTTACATCCCTGGAAGTTCTCCTGCTTCTGCTTCTGGTGCTGACCCATTTACAGGTAAATTTAATTACTTTAACGCCTTCCCAACCCATAATCCGTTCCCAGTTACCCCATGGCAGGGAAGCATTATTAAACATCTCCCCTTTGACAGCCAGCAGTCAACACTGCATGACAGATAGCCCTCAGTTCCAGTTGTCACTGGCAGCTGGCATCCCCACTGACGATCAATTTCCAGTGAGAATGGTTTCTGGTCATGTAATTGTCAGTTATAACCTAGCAATCACATTCTGGGAGAAGGTTAGCCAAACTTATAAATAAGAATAATAATATGAACTGTAGTTTGCAGCTTGATTAGTGGTGTAGATGTTTCTTTACTTGAAGCAGATAGGACTTCCTATCTTTGCTTTTAGTTTCTTACTGAAAATATGGTTTTATATTGTGTCTGTCTGTCTCCCTCATTGTCAAATCATCTTTAAGATATCTTGTGAAAAATTTTAAAGGATTGTGTACTTTCAGGCAAAACGCAGTTGTCCTTTTTCAACCCCAGATACACAGTTAACTTGACCTGCAGCCCTCAGCAGTATTTACATGCCACTTGTACAATCTGCTTGGCTTCTTGTCTGCACAGTCCCCATATGGGCCGGTTCCCACCAGGAATCAAACAGGAACGTCTGTGTGATTTGAGTGCAGAGCGTTTTCAGCCCATTCATTTGAAAGGGCTGAAACCACACTGCACCACACCAAAAAACATACTGCAACTATATTGCATGGTACTTCTGTATAATGCAATCTGGTGTAGGCAAACACACTGTATTTGCAAGCTGCGGTTGGGGTGCCGTTAGCATTGCTTTGACACCCGCTACAGTTCGCAAGTTCAGTGCATTTTGAATGCGGTGTGGGAAACGTGCACTGAACATAGGTTTCCCATTCTGATGTGAACAGGCCCTAAGACTTTCTTGAGTTTCTTCTGAGCGTAGGATGGTGGCAAGTGCGCATCTGCGGTACAGATTTGTCTAAAAGCACTTTGTCTAAAAGTCTGATTATCCCTAATTTTATAAAATATCCACCTACTAAAAAAAAAAATATAAAAACCTGGATGAGCTATTGCCTGGGGTAGTTTAACAGGTTCCCACCTGGCCTATAGCCAGATGGCGGCCTGTAAAACCCCTCGTCCCTCTGGGTGGACGCCATATGGCGTCCTTTCAGGCATGCGCAGTTTGCATGCCCGCAGAGCCACGCAGTGGCGCGATCTGTCACCAGCCGTGTACCTCGGACATGGCCGATGATAGATCTGAGTACCGGCCCGTTGCCTGTACCATGTGACCTGTTGTGACCAATCACAGCAGGTCACATGACAGTTGTATACAATGGATGGCTTCCTTTCATGCCATCCATTGTATACTAGTCTGTCTAGCTGTGAATGGTCACAGCGATCACATGCACAAGCTGGCCCACTCACAGCCCAGCTGTGTCATGTGATTAGCCGTGGTCAAATCACAGCTAAGCACAAAAAAAAAACCCTGAATGTCATTCAGGTAAATGCTTGCTTATAGCAAAGTAATATTTTGCTGTAAGCAAATTGTGTATAAAAAAAAAAAGATACTGATCACTTCCCCAAAGTAGTACAATGTTACTATGGTAACATTGTACTACTTTGGTCATAGTGAAATATGAAAAAAAAATCTTAAAAGAAAAAAAAATGTAATAAAAAATTAAAACTAATAAAAAAATTACAAAAAAATAAAAAAAAAAATATTTTTTTTCTTACTGTCACCAGTCAGTGTCCCTGATCACTGCCATGCCAGTTATATGATGACGCTGTACTGCACTGGTGACAGTATGTAAAAAAAAAAAATTAAAAAATCGTGAAAAATTTTTGTTTTTATTTTTTCATTATGACAATTATGACAAAAAAATTACAACTTCAAAAAACTCGCCATGCCTCTTATGAAGTACGTCGGACTGTCTACTTTGCAAAAAGGGGTCATTTGGGGATATCTGTACTGTTCTGACATTCTTGGACCTCAAGAAATTAGATTGGCTGTCAGTACTTCAGGACTGATCAATATTCAGATATATCCCATAGTTTGTGAACTCTATAACTTTCCTGCAGACTAAATAATACATCGTAATTTGGGTTATTTTCACCAGACATGTAGCAGAATACATATTGGCCTAAATTTATGAAGAACAATTATTTATTTGTAAACTTTTATAACAGAAACAAAAAAAAACGTGTGTTTTTTTTTTTTTTTTTTTTTTTTTTTTTTAATTTTCGGTCTTTTTTTTGTTAATTTAGCAAAAAAATAAAAACCCCAGTGGTGATTAAATACCACCAAAAGAATGCTTTAGTTGTGTGAAGAAAATGATAAAGTTTTAGTTTGGGTACAATGTTGTATGACCGCGCAATTGTCATTCAAATTGTGAGAGCGCTGAAAATTGGCCTGGGCAGGAAGTGGGTAAAAGTGCCCTGTATGGAAGCGGTTAAAGAAATATGTAACTGAGCTTTATCCCTTTTCACTATTTGTATCTTTTTTTTATGTGCAAGTGACATACTGTATCTGACTGGTTAATATATGGGAGAATGTTAGGTTTCAGTGAATTTGCTATCCTGGAGCTTCTTTTACAGGAATGGTAAGAAGCTAGTAGTGATTAAGCCTGAAATTTGTGCCTTACAGGTGGTAACCGTTATGTGCCTGGCTCCTCATCAAATTTGGTTCCCTCAGCTGGAGCAGATCCATTTACAGGTAACTATCCTTACCAAACACTTATGCAGGCCATAGATGGGTCGAAAATCGGCCGATTTTTTGGCCGAAAATAAAATCGGCCGATTTTCGGATCGTTAGTGGGCTATTTGTTCGGCCGTTTTACGGTATTTTGGCAGATTTTTTTTATCGGTAAAGTTGGAAAAAACAATCGGCCGATTTTGCCGATCGGCCGATTTTCGCGGCAATGATGGGCAAATCAGCCGATTTTTTTTTTTTTTTTTTTTTTTTTTTTTTTTAACCGATTAAAAAATCTGCGCATGAGCAGTGACCTGCAAGAGGAAGACAAAAAGAAGAAGATGAAGATGAGGATGATGATGAAGAAGATGAGGATGATGATGATGAAGAAGATGAGGATGATGATGAAGAGGATGAGGATGATGATGAAGAGGATAATGATGATGAAGAAGAAGAGGATGAGGAGGATGATGGTGAAGAAGAAGAGGATGATGGTGAAGAAGAAGAGGATGATGGTGAAGAAGAGAGGATGATGGTGAAGAAGATAAGAGGATGATGGTGAAGAAGAGGAGGATGATGGTGAAGAAGAGGAGGATGATGGTGAAGAAGAGGAGGATGAGGATGATGAAGAAGAAGAGGAAGAGGAGGATGATGGTGAAGAAGAGGAAGAGGAGGATGATGGTGAAGAAGAGGAAGAAGAGGATGATGGTGAAGAAGAGGAAGAGGAGGATGATGGTGAAGAAGAGGAAGAAGAGGATGATGGTGAAGAAGAAGAAGAAGAGGATGATGGTGAAGAAGAAGAGGATGATGGTGAAGAAGAAGAAGAGGATGATGATGATGATGAAGAAGAAGTAGGATGAAAAATAAGAGGAATTCCAGTCCAGCAAAAAGTGTCCCTGCAGAGAGCTCCGCTATTTCTTTGACAGTTCTTTGACAGTTCCTTGACATTTACAGCGGTTGCAACATTGTATCTATTTGTTTCCGAATAAAAACATCTGTATCCTAAATGGAAACAAATAGATACATTGTTGCAACCGCTGTAAATGTCAAGGAACTGTCAAAGAAATAGCGGAGCTCTCTGCAGGGACACTTTTTGCCGGCTGTAGATGGGATGAAAATCGGCCGATTTTTTTTTTTTTTTTTTTTTTTTTTTTTTTTTTTTTTTTTTTTTTTTTTTTTTTTTTTTTTTTTTTTCCACCATTGATGGTAACGTCGGCCGCTTGAACGACCGATTTTTTTCGTTTTTTTAAAAGAAAAATCGTCAGTTTTTTCTCCCCGTCTATGGCCTGCATTAGACTGGAACAATACTTTTGCAGTGTGCAAGTGAATGCATGTTGCTGTGGGACAGTCCATTCATTTTGCACAACACAGGTTCCCGGTGCAGTGCACTACAATGCACAGCTGATTTACATCTGTGCTATGTGGTTTTTCTTAAAAAGTAGATTTGTTGGGGTGCAATTCAAAAAAGGCAGTGCTAAAATGTGAATCCAACCTTAAAATGGAACCTTAACCCTAAAATGAAGTCCTGCTAAATCACTTCAGGCTGGCCTCTTTTGCAGGCATAGCTATGTTAAACATTAAAAATAAATGCCTCTACTGTTTAAAATCCAGTAATCCACTGTCTCACCCTGCTCTGCACATGCTCAGTTGCTCTCTACTTTTCGGCTGTGTGCCAAAAATATAGAGGCGGATCTGCTGACCGCCTAAAGATTTACTGCTGTTCAGGGGCTCTGGGCTTCAGCAAAATGGCAGCCTCTGGCAAGAAAAAAACAGGAGCAATGCTGGGGGCAATTTACAGCACACACTAAGGACCCTTTCACACAGAGCAGAATCCAATTCACTCGGCAGGGGATCTGTCCACTGATCCCTGTTGAGTAGAGTGGGCAGATAACAGATCCGTGTCCTCTCCGTTTATGCAGAGCAGACAGAGCCTGCTTTTCTCTATGGGCATCAGGGTGTAAACAGACCGGTTGTATGTTTACACCAGACTCTCATCTGATCTGCTTAGACAGAGGGGGACTGATTGCAATGGAGGTAGGCGGTTATAAACGGACACAACTCCACTTTACACCCACCCATCCATAGGAATAAATAGACTATCGGATCAGGTTCACCTGAATAAGTGATGGGCGAACCTGATTGGATCGCCATGTGAAAGGGGCCTAATTTTGGCAGCATAATTTATTAATGTGGAATGTATGCTCCTTGTTTAAGAACATTATTTTTATCAAGTTGGTATACGTAAATTTCCACTTTAACCTCTAAAATATTTCATATTTTTTGGTTGTTCCCAAATTCGTTGAGTGCTATAAAATTAATCTAAAGATATACTTTAAATAACACACACCCAACAAACTTGCAAATGTAAATTATCGTCTTTTTCCCTTTTAGGCTCCATGCACACTAGTGTTGTGTTTTTTTTTTTTTTTTTTTTTTTTTTTTTTTAAGCTACTAGAAGCTGTTGTCAGAATTTTTTTTTTCTGTGTTCTAGAAGCTAAATAGTGTAATCCTTTTGTGTCCATGCACACTATTTTAGGCTAGTAGCATTTTTCAAGCTTCAGCATTTAGGAGTAGAAAAGAAAAATATTTTTGTATAGTTTTTGGGAGCGTTTTTCCAACAGAAAAAAAATGTAAAACGCTCCTAACAGCTTTTTTCTAGCTTTTTTTTCCCCTACATGTACTGTAAAAATGCTAATACTCGCTATTACCAGCCTTTTTTTTTTTTTTTTTTTTTTTTTTTTATTCAGCGGTTTTTTGAGCTTAAAAAAACGCTAGTGTGCATAGTGCCTAAGTCTGTGAAAGTCTTTTATTTGTATTGCCCTCTGCCACAAGACTAACGTGTGCAATTCTGTGATCTATGGCAAAATATCTTGTGTACAAGTTATTTTATGATTTATCGCACAATAATTAATCACATGATTTGATGACCTTGGTCACAGTTTAATTCTTGTATGTACAGATTCTCAAAAGTGGTTGATATAAAATGTTGTCCTGTGTAATTTTTTGAAGGGAGGAATGCGTATAGATCAGCTGCTGCCCAAATTCCAAATACCTATTTTCCAAAGAGAGACCCTGTCACCTTTGACCAAGCAAACCCAGGACAGATTTTGGGTGAGTGTTCATTTACAGATTCAGCTATTGTTTTTGTGAGGTAGCACACTTAACCACAGGTGTTACATAGTTGTCCAAATGTTCCTGAAGTACCTCCAGTTGATGTATATTGGGTGATAGATATATAATCTCTAATTTTTTTTTTTTTTTTTTTTTTTTGCATATTCTCTGGGGGGTATGACTATAGCTCCCAGAAAACAGCCACAAAAGATTGCTTTCAAAGATTAATGAATTGGCCTAATGCCAAAAACGATTAAATCTTTTTACTAGCCAACTTTCCATCTGGGTTCTCAATTATCAATGAGCCTAAAAGCTGGTTGTGTGCAACGGATCGTATTCATTTTTTTTTTTTTCATTGTCTTAAACTGGTAGTAAACTCAACATTTTCTACTTTCCTGCATAAAATCCGCAATAAACGGATTAAAATGTGTATGGTGCTGAGTTTTGCTATCTAACCTGTGCCATTTGGTAGAAATCCAAGCGATCCTCAATCCAATGACCACACCGGCACTTGCACATTTTTGCCGCAATTCACATCATGGTCTGTGTGCCATCAGTCCTTTCCATAAGATGCCATACCCGCATCATCTACTCTCAGCGGCATTGCTTTGCAATCCTGCAAGAGTATATCCCCATTCTTATCTTCCTGAAACACCCCATGTTACTTGGTTACGTCACAAGGTAGTGTAAACATTAACGCCGATCACAGGAGAAGCAATCACTTGTTGGCTGCAGTCTACAGTAAATAATGAATGCATGTGCGAGAATTTAGCCATTACTGAAAGAAAGGGCAGACATATACTACACTATAGATGCGGTAGACAACAGTTAACATGTTGCCTGCTTCAGGTGGGAGGGAAATCACCTGCAAAAACGTAGGAAAGCACCAAGGGGGATACTTGTGAAAATTACAGACATTAAGAAATTGCTTTTTACATCATTCCAGCTTCATAATTTTGTATTTCTTAATGTCTGTAATGTTTTTTCACAATTTGTATGTCTGACTTTACTATCACTTTTAAAGGACAGGTGTACATTATATAACTATTCCTAAATCTTCCCTCCCACATACAAAGCTAAACCTTCCTAAGAAGATCTTTGGTGTACAGCATTCGTTAAAGTATTACTAAACCTAGGACCCTGCATTCACTATATCTGGCGTCCCACAGTGTTATTATTTTAGTAAATATAAACTGCTAAATACCTTTTTCTCACCAGCAGTTAGAGCAGTCTTGTGACTTCTATTGGTGTCCTGCTGAGCACTGGTTAAAACATGTAGGAGGAGTTTTTATTCTCCCCTGATTGTCCTATGAGGCTGCAGGACCCCTGACCCTCTGTCTGGACAGTGCTGTTTGGCCCTGTGCTGATCACATGCACTCTCCCAAGAAAAAAAAAAAACTCTAGCAATATACACCAAACGGAGCATGTGTAGCTTGCCTCCAAGACTCTGTTTGATCAGGAAATGGACTTGGGACAGTAGAAGAAGGGGAGGATCAGAGATGACAGGATCAAACTGCCTTTTTACACAGTGTGGAGGATTAACCCCTTAGGTTCCACAGTGCGTCTAACAAGCATGCTTTACTGCATATACAGACTTATTCTACTATTTTGGATTTAGTAACACTTTAAGTCAGTGGAGATCCAGTGCACAGGTGCAGTCACATAAATAGATTTTCATCTGTAGGAGGCTGCAGCTCTGGCACGAAGATAAAGTAAGAAGCTTGGAGAAGGATTAGCAAAAGTTTTGCTGTTTTAGCAATAGCTGATCTGAAGGTACACCTTTCCGTAAAGACCGTGGACAGAAAGAAATGATGTGTTGTGCGCCTCTTTGACTCACTGTATAACTTTGGGGATTTATATTGCCCAATGAATAATTTTTCTATATTTGCAGTAATGTATTAACAGTATTATCACAGAAACCTGACATTTTAACATGGGTGTGTAGACTTTTTATATCCACTGTATAAGGGTGCTCCCACTGGACAGTCAGGCCTAATAACATAGTGAAGTTGTGATTGGAGGAGCACACAGAGCAGGATTTACTAGCTTACAAAGGTAATCCTAGGTATGCTGTGGTATCTGCTCTAAACTACATACAGTATTTACAGTGCAGCTAATGTGTCCACAGAACAGCTCAGTATTTTAACTTGAAGTTAACTTGAATTCCAATAAGAATCATACCTATCTTACCAAGATAGGAACCACTAGTGGGCAGTTCCCACGTCAGATTCCAAGTCTAAATGTAGGATGGGTGGGTAAGAGGGGAGGAGGGGGGGATAGGGGTAATGGTAGAAGGGGAAGAAGGGAGAAATGCCACTTTCCAAATTGTTTGTATCTGTCTTTTCTCTTTCTCCCTTTGGGTGATAGTAACTGTAGTGGGGCAGGAAAATTAGAGTAGTAATGAATGATATGAAGTTTATGACTTACAACGTGAAAGGGTTGAACTCCCCTACTAAAAGATATAAGCTACTTAGGGAAATCTTTCAACATTCGATAGATGTAGTATTTCTCCAAGAGACACATCTAACCTACGATACAAATGTGAAGATAAATTCAAAGCATTAGGTAACATGGTACTATGCAAACTTCCCAGTTAAAAGGGCTAAAGCGGTGGTGATTGGTCTGTCAAGGAATGTGAGTTTTTTGTATTGGAAAAAAAAAGGAGGACCCAGTGGGTCGATTTCTACTCCTGAAGGGAAAACTATAAGGAGCTGAATATACATTGGCTAACATTTTTTGCCCAAATAAAAATCCAGCAGCATTTTTGGCGGGATTGCTAAGAGAGCTTGCGGAATTTAAAAAGGGTAACCTGGTTGTGACCGGAGACATATATCTGTGTATGGATCCTCCGTTGGATGCGTCCTCATGTACGAGGAGAGAGGGGGAAAAGAATTTAAAATCACTAAAGAAACTACTTTATCAAGGGCAACTTATTGATACTTGGAGAGTTAAGCATCAAAAAGAAAAAGATTATACCTTCTTCTATCCTGTGCTTGGAACGTATTCTAGATTGGACTATATAATGATTGAACACAGATAACTGGAGTTGTTGGTTGGTTAGTGCTGAAATAGAGGTTATTTCTATATCTGATCACACTCCCGTCACAATGAGGCTCCGGGTAGGTGGGGACCAAGATAAATTACCATGGTGGAGATTAAATGAGATGATTATTCAAGATCCGGCGTTAGAAAAAAAGATTAAGGGGAGAGATAGGGCAATTGTTTGAGCTTAATGAGACAGAAGAAGTATCAGCAGCCACAGTCTGGGAGGCTCATAAAGCCTATGTTATACTTATAGGAATACTTATTTCAATGGGAGCAGAAATAAAGAACGAGAGACAAAAATAAGGGTTGTGGCTGAAGAACTCCATAAATTAGAATGGTTGCATAAAAAGACAGGTATGGATGTGTATCAGAAGGTGTTTATAAAAAGGGAAGAACTAAAGGATCTTATGGAACAAGAGCTGAGAAGGATATTTAATAGGGTCTTAAAAGAAAGCTATCGGTGGGGGAATAGACCTGGAAGAAATCAAAAAATTTTATAGAAAAAAATTAAGGATGATAATGGAGAAATGCTATATTCCATCCCCGATATCGCTAATAGGTTCCAAAGATATTATAGTCAGGTTTATAAAGTGAGTTCTAGAGACCCCCCCCCCCTAAAAAAAAAAAAAGAGGAGGAAAAGAGGCTAGAGTATTTAAATTAAGTGGAATTGCTAAGAATAGCGAGAGAAAAATTAGAAGCCCTAGAGAGACCTATTACCATAGAGGAAATTAATATGGCCTTGAAAAATACAGCTAAAGGAAAGAGCCGGGGACTGGATAGATATACGGCGGGTTATTATAAAAAAAAATGTGATCTTCTGGTTCCTAAAATGTGTAGCTATATGAATGCAATAGGAGAAGGGCTGGAAATGAGAGAGGAATCACTGCAAACCCATATAACGATCATACTTAACGAGGGGAAAGATAACACACAGTGTGCCAGCTATAGGCCAATATTCTTATTAAATGTTGATACTAAACTGTACTCTAAAGTGTTGTCAACCAGACTAATCTAATGCCAGAGTGGATACACCTGGATCAGGTGGGATTCATCCCTGGAAGAGAAGGTAGAAATAATGGTTTGAGATCATTGTTCCTCTTACAAAAGATAAAAAGATAGAAATTGCCGGCCTTACTCCTGTCAATAGATGCAGAGAAGGCTTTTCATAGGGTTAATTGGGGTTTTATGATGGATACACTAGAGAAACTGGGCCTGGGGCCTAAAATGCTGAAGTGGATAAAAGGACTTAATAGCACCCCGTCAGCGGCAGACAAGGTTAACGGGTCCCTTTTTTTAAAATGTATAACGGTACCAGACAGGGTTGCACACTCTATTGTTTGTTATATCCTTGGAGCCTGTCCTGGAGAGGGTAAGGAAGTGTGCGGATGTAACAGGAATAAAGATGGGACAAGCGGAGCATAAAGTGGCAGCTTATGCGGATGACATGTTGTTTTATATAAAAAATCCAAGAATAACGTTGTCCAACTTAATGAAATTGCTAAAACAGTATGGGTAGATATCAAATCTGAAAATAAACCCTGCAAAATCAGAAATTTTAAATATTAATATTCCAAAAGCGGAGAAGCAAAAGTTATAAAAAGAATTCCCATTTACATGGAGGGATAAAGAAATAGGCAATTTAGGAATAAAACTGACCCCTTCAATACAAACCCTTTATGAGGCAAATTATATTCCATTAGTAAACAAAATAAAAAGAGAACTGGAGATGCTGTCAAAAGGCGGTGCTTCCTTGATAGGTTGTATAAACTTGGTAAAGATGGTGATGGTACCAAAAATCTTCTATAGGTTCCATCTGCTTCCAATATACAATCAGGTCCATAAATATTGGGACATCAACACAATTCTAACATTTTTGGCTCTGTACACCACCACAATGGATTTGAAAAGAAACGAACAAGATGTGCTTTAACTGCAGACTGTCAGCTTTTAATTTGAGGGTATTTACATCCAAATTAGGTGAACGGTGTAGGAATTACAACAGTTTGCATATGTGCCTCCCACTTGTTAAGGGACCAAAAGTAATGGGACATAATAATAATCATAAATCAAACTTTCACTTTTTAACACTTGGTTGCAAATCCTTTGCAGTCAATTACAGCCTGAAGTCTGGAACGCATAGACATCACCAGACGTTGGGTTTCATCACTGGTGATGCTCTGCCAGGCATCTACTGCAACGGTCTTCAGTTCCTGCTTGTTCTTGGGGCATTTTCCCTTCAGTTTTGTCTTCAGCAAGTGAAATGCATGCTCAATCGGATTCAGGTCAGGTGATTGATTTGGCCATTGCTTAACATTCCACTTCTTTCCCTTAAACTCTTTGGTTGCTTTTGCAGTATGCTTTGGGTCATTGTCCATTGCACTGTGAAGCGGCGTCCAATGAGTTCTGCAGCATTTGCCTGAATATGAGCAAATAATATTGCCTGAAACACTTCAGAATTCATCCTGCTGCTTTTGTCAGCAGTCACATCATCAATAAATACAAGAGAACCAGTTCCATTGGCAGCCATACATGCCCACGCCATGACACTACCACCACCATGCTTCACTGATGAGGTGGTATGCTTAGGATCATGAGCAGTTCCTTTCCTTCTCCATACTCCTCTCTTCCCATCACTCTGGTACAAGTTGATCTTGGTCTCATCTGTCCAAAAAAGCCTTCCAGAACTGTGAAGGCTTTTTTAGATGTCATTTGGCAAACTCTAATCTGGCCTTCCTGTTTTTGAGGCTCACCAATGGTTTACATCTTGTGGTGAACCCTCTGTATTCACTCTGGTGAAGTCTTCTCTTGATTGTTGACTTTGACACACATACACCTACCTCCTGGAGAGTGTTCTTGATCTGGCCAACTGTTGTGAAGGGTGTTTTCTTCAACAGGGAAAGAATTCTTCGGTCATCCACCACAGTTGTTTTCCGTGGTCTCCCGGGTCTTTTGGTGTTGCTGAGCTCACCGGTGCGTTCTTTCTTTTTAAGAATGTTCCAAACAGTTGTTTTGGCCACACCTAATGTTTTTGCTATCTCTCTGATGGGTTTGTTTTGTTTTTTCAGCCTAATGATAGCTTGCTTCACTGATAGTGACAGCTCTTTGGATCTCATCTTGAGAGTTGACAGCAACAGATTCCAAATGCAAATAGCACACTTGAAATGAACTCTGGACCTTTTATCTGCTCATTGTAATTGGGATAATGAGGGAATAACACACACCTGGCCATGGAACAGCTGAGAAGCCAATTGTCCCATTACTTTTGGTCCCTTAACAAGTAGGAGGCACATATGCAAACTGTTGTAATTTCTCAACTGTTCACCTGATTTGGATGTAAATACCCTCAAATTAAAGCTGACAGTCTGCAGTTAAAGCACATCTTGTTCGTTTCATTTCAAATCCATTGTGGTGGTGTATAGAGCCAAAAATGTTAGAATTGTGTCAATGTCCTAATATTTATGGACCTGACTGTATATTCCAGTATCCTTCTTTGTTATAATACAGAAGATGATAGGTTTATTTGGGCAAACAAAAATCTGAGAATTAGTTATGACACATTGAGTAGGGCAAAAGGTAATGGGGGTTTGGGGCTGCAAAAAAATTAGGAATTATTACCAAGCGGTGTTACTTTCACGAATAGATTGGGAATTTAATTCACAAAGGAAACCTAAAAAAAACTAAAATAATGTGGTTGCATAAGTGTTCTCGCCTCTCATAAGTGGGGGAGGTAGCTGTGCTCAGAATTAAGCAATTACATTCAAAATCATGTTAAATAGGAGTCAGTACACACCTGCCATCATTTAAAGTGCCTCTGATTAACCCCAAATAAAGGTCAGCTGTTCTAGTAGGTCTTTCCTGACATTTTCTTAGTTGTATCATACAGCAAAAGCCATGGTCCCCAGAGAACTTCCAAAGCATCAGAGGGATCTCATTGCTAAAAGGTATCAGTCAGGAGAGGGGTACAAAAGAAAATGGACACTGTACATTACATTTCTGTTTATCTTTTCTGCTAATGTTATTCTTGTCACATATAGGTAAACTAAAAGAACTGAATGAGACAGCTCCTGAAGAACACAAGCTGTCTGAGGATGATCTAATGAGACTTGACAAGCTTCTCTCTGTGATTGGTAATTCCTCTGGAGAAACGGCAACTGCTCAACAAGTGGACACTTTATGGAGAACAGTCAAATGGCCTGAAGGTGCTAAATATGTTTGCTTTCTTCCATTTAGTAACTCAAGCTTCTCTCCTCACATGCCATTTGACGTGCTGCGTCATTTTTCATCAATAAATTGCTTGTACTTTTTTTATGTAGGGTCAGGATTCAAATTCTATACACAATTATGTTTTTTGTGTGTTTTTCAGAAATTATGATAGTGCCCAAGTCTAGTCTGGCCAGCATTTTTTATTTTGGATAAAGTGAGGATGAGTTAGGGTTTTTACATTTCTTCCCTGTTGACACCATTCCAAAAAAGAAATATGGGGTCACCAAGATGGGAAAGTACAGACCGCAATAAAACCATCGCAGAGGTTCTTGCCTTTCTCTGCTTTACTCAAACAACATGCCTTTGCTGCTGTATCTGTCCTCAGTTGAGATTTCTCATCTTTTTCCTATGACACCCTGTTATTGGGACAGAATGTAAGAGGAAATATCTCGAGCAAGTATGCAGATAGCAGTAGAACCTAACAAAGGTCCTGATCTTCTCCTCACTAACTGTTTTGACTACATTTGGGCTGTAACGTGTTGTGTTAGTCTTATAAATAAGGTAAGCCCTGTTGACTAGCAAACTACCCAAAAAAAAAAATTTCCTCTGCAAAATAATGTCATATTGTGCTAGTATGCATAGCATACTAGCATTGTATGAAAGACTTGCCATAGAATGAAGTCCTCCAGGGGCACATTGTCACCGATCACAGGGCTTCCATCTTCATGCGGTCTTCCTTCCGGGTTTGCAGGCTCTGGCCGCTTGATTGGCCGAGCTGCGATGATGTCACTCCCACGCATGCGCATGGGAGTCTCAACTGCGGTGCAGAGCTCTGAAGGAATGGCACCGGTGATGTCAACGGCTGCAGGGAACTGAATATCTACTAAACTGTGCATGTTTAGGAGATGTTCCTTTTTATACCTACAGGTAAGCTTTATTAAAAGCTTACTTGTAGATACACATGTCCAGTGGGAGTTTACTTCCACTATAAAGGGGATTTTCTGTTTAGCCACACTTGCATGTCACACTGCACACAAAGCCAGGAATATAAAGCAAACTCTATCCTGGTTAGGAGTCCCGATTTTCCTGTGTTGGATGGTGTTAATTTGTTGTCAACTGTAGGCCAGAGATGTAGAAGTGACACAGGAAGCTGAAAAGCAGAACAAATGGATATGTTGCACCTGCTGTAATTTGGCAGAAGTGCTGTTGTAAGAAGAAATGTGTGGCCGGAGGCACTTATCAATTGAAGTATCATACAGCAAGTTCTGTACAGGGCATTTATGCACAGATTTAAATGCATGAATAATCTACTTACAAAAACTCTCCCACTGTACCTTGATTAGGCACTAACATGTTTATTTATATTCAACATTTATTTATATTCACTTCCTGTTTGTCAATACAGTTGTATATCACCTAAATATAGTAGCATAATTGCCTAACGAGATTCACGTTATTCTTTTTAGGAGGAGTTGTTAGATGGGTATTCCCATTTTTCCCCAAGGTTCTTATCTGGAAACTACCTCCTATGGGGGGGGGGGGACATCTCGCACTATATGCAGAACTTGGTGTTGCAGCATTCTTTTTCTCACCACATAAAAATGTCTTATATAGCTACAGATAGAATGAGCAGTGTAATAGTTGGACATACAGATGGCCATTTTGTCCTTACCCAACATTTGTCTACAGTGCAGAATCACAAAAGTGGGTGAACAGATTTTTTTTATTTATTTTTTTTAAACCTAGACTCCCTGTAATGGATGTGGTTTTTTTTTTTTTTTTTTTTTTTTCTTTCTCTTTCTCTTTCTTTGTGGATTTTGTTTTTATATTGTATATAACACTTCTTGGGTAGCAACAGTGCTGAAGGACAGGAACTATGTGATTCTTGCAAGTATCATTGTTAGAAACCAAGGAGGCTTAACAGCAACACCAGAATCAGTCCTAAGACTAAGAACAGTTTTTACATAAGCCATTGACCTCTTACCAAATCAAGATGAAGCCCCACTTCCTTCTAGTGCTAGGCCCTGCCCTTGTCATTCACTTGTCAAATGCTAGAGCCTGTACTGGCTGATATTCTGGCATTTGACAGAAGCAAGGTTGTATGCCAATTTGGATAAAGGTTGAACCAACAGGCTACAGAGTGATTTGAAGTCTAATACTAGCGAACACTAACAGCACTGTCAGCTTAGAAAGTTTTTAGTCCAGAACAGGTTCACTTCAATAAAAAGAATAAACAAAGATCTGAATGATTTAGATTCTCTGTATATTTCATAATATGTAGGAAATGGCATAATATTTTTTTCTTCTCTTGCTTCTAGAAATTGTATTTCCAGCATTGGATGTTCTTCGAATAACTGTCAAAATTCCTACTATCAATGAAATGTTTTGCAGTGAAAATGGCAATCAGTTCATCAACTACCTCTTCCAAATAATGCGTCCGAGTGGTAGACAAGCCAACCAACTGCTTGCACTTCGGACATTGTGTAACTGCTTTGCCTGTGAGGCAGGTGAAAGACTTATGATGTCTCAGAGGGACACTGTCCTAACAAAAGCCTTAGAACTAAAGGCAGTAAATAATAAGAATATCCATACTGCGCTGGCCACACTGATGTTGAACTATTGCACCTGTTTAAATAAAGCCAGTGACTTGGAGGGGAAGGCTCAATGCCTGTCGGCTATCAGCACAGTTATGGAAGTTGTACAGGATCTTGAAGCTAGTTTCAGGTTACTTGTGGCTCTTGGGACACTGGTCAGCAATGATTTAAACGCCGTGCAGTTAGCCAAGTCCCTGGGAGTTGATGCACAAATTAAAAAATATATGTCTGTCTCAGAACCCGCCAAAGTTCACGAGTGCTGCAAGCTCCTTTTGGGTAATCTATAAAAAATATTTTCATTACTACTGGCAGACAAACTTCTTGCTATGTAGTAACTTCCTACCACATTGTAATACAAATAAACTGAAGGTAAATGCAGTGGATTGAATGCTGAAAGTCTGTCTTGTCTTTAAACCCTTAGCCCCAAATAAATTTTTGCACTGAACATCTTCAGAGGGTTTTTAATGTTTGCTTCAGGCCTATACTGTATCTATTGTACACTTTTTTTTTTTTTTGGTCATGGCACACAACAAGAAATCAAAGATCTTTTGTAGTTTTGTTGGTGCAACTTGTTTACAGTTTGTATTAGAATTTAATATTTTGCTAATTTAAAAAGAAGAGGTATGGTGGAAATGTTTAAAGTTCACTTTTGGATGTCACCAACTAAGAAAACATATATTATGCGGACTATGTCTTCAGTGTCAGGTAATGATGATGAAAAATGAATAACATGCTTGAAAGTGTATGCATTGGAAATAAAAAATAACTGGGGAGGTAAACGAGGAGTTGGAATACTGATCAAGAAGAAAATGGATCCATTGGAATACACACCTACAGTTAGTGACTCTGAATGCTTTGTAAATGAACACATACTGTACAAGTTGTTTTTGTTGTAATCTGCTTAAACATAGTCAGTTTATAGAAGCTGTCACTTTTATTTAAAGTAAGCCTGTCCACAGCACAAGGTGATAAAGGTAGCATAATGACTTTAAATGTAAATTAAGCAGTCCATAGAATATGCAACTTTCTTTTCTGCCACCACAGATGGCAGGAAAGAAAACAGTGAAACACAATGAGTGTGCAGTGCTGTTGTGTTCTGCTGGAGGGAAGCCTTCCCTGATGGCACAATGATCACTGCTAGCAGCTATAGCCGCCACCAGTGATCACATGGAAAAAAAAAAAAAAAAAAAAATCCAACAGACTAGATGTGTTTGAAGTTGATCGATTGGATTGACTTCAGTACAACTAGCCTGCCTGAACTGCCCAAGATTTGATCCATCTATGGGCTCCAAAGCTCCAAAGTCATAACTTTGACGTACCCATGCGACTTTTGCACCTCTTTACTGCCAAGATGTGTATTTACCACTCTGGAATGATGAGTGGGGTGTATTTTTTAAACTTCTTACAAAGATGATATGAGACAAAGATGTCATTGGCTGGCTTCACAAATTTTTAAGACTCCGAAGACTGCAGAATTAAAAAAAAAAAAAAAAAAAAAAATGGAGTGCCGTATTTTTCGCTCCATAAGACGCACTTCCCCCCCCCCAAAAAAGGGGGGCAAATGTCAGTGCGTCTTATGGAGCGAATGTAAAGCGGCTGGTCCGGTATTTCTGCCGCCACCGTGTCAGAATATTGGGCCGGCCGCTCAGCTCTTCCCTCCTGCAGGACCTTACCTATTCCTCACTCCAGCGCTGTACAGTCTTCCCACGGCAGCTTCTGTGACAGCCGGGTGCCCACTGCGCATGCGCGAGAAGCGGCGCTCTTTGTGAATGGTCCGGTGTCTTCTGGGACACATGACAGGTCCCAGAAGGCTCCGGGCCATTCACAAAGCGCAGCGCTTCTCGCGCATGCACAGTGGGCACCCGGTTGTCACAGAAGCCGCCGCGGGAAGAAGAGGGAAGGACAACTCTGCGGAAGTGGGAGCGGGTACCTGTCAAATTCAGGTACCCGCTCCCCCTCCCTCACCAAAGGTCCGCAGCTCTGGTCATCCCCTGTACTGTGTCCGCAGGCTCTGGTCATCCCCTGTACTGTGTCCGCAGGCTCTGGTCATCCCCTGTACTGTGTCCGCAGGCTCTGGTCATCCCCTGTACTGTGTCCGCAGGCTCTGGTCATCCCCTGTACTGTGTCCGCAGGCTCTGGTCATCCCCTGTACTGTGTGTTAGTCTCTGGCCATCCCCTGTCGTGTGTCTGCAGGCCATTGGTTTAGAATATTTTTTTTCTTGTTTTTCTCCTTTAAAACCTAGGCGCGTCTTATGGTCAGGTGCGTCTTATGGAGCGAAAAATACGGTGCATCTCTATAATAAATTCCCATTTCCCTAAGTTTAATCTTTATTTTAAATCCAGGAAACAGATGGCCCTGCTTTTGTGATTATTTTATTGTTCAGTGTGGATATGTATGGGTGAATGAAATACTAGAAAATGCAGAAAAGATAAAGGATTCAAAAAAACAAAAACACTTTCTTGTTTGACAGTTGTGAGTGCAAGAGCAGCAGACTGAGCAAAAGAGGAAATGTAGATCAGATGGATAGAAATTGGGAGCAGGAGAGCAAAAAAAAAAAAAAAAAAAAAAGCTGACTAGAAAACACATGTTCCTGTAGGCACAAAAAGGTCTGTAACAATGAATGCAATCTGTCGTCTGGGTTGTCATTCATAGAGTGAATGTAAACACATGTAAATTGCACTTCACTGAAAATAATCTGCATATAAGGTAGCCTGGGGGGGGATAATTCACAACAACAGGTTTTAGACTGTATGGTACAATAAACACAATTTTAGAAATTTACAATACATGCAGTGCCTATAAATATTAATCACTTTGAAAGTTTTCATATTTTATTGTTAAGAACATTTGATTTACTGTATGTGCATATAATTTTTTTTTTCCCCTGATTGAAAAAAAAAATTTTTTTTCCATGTTAACGGTAAAATGTTTGAATTAGTAAAAGCTATACTATCGGCATGCAGTTAACCAGGAAATTGTAAAGAATACAGGAATATCTAGGAGGTGGAATACGCCTCCATGCCCTAAAGTAATGCAGCAGATTTTAAAAAAGCTTATTTCTCCTGGAAATCTTAATTTGTATGTGTGTGGAGGAAGAGAGGATGTGGGTACTTTTTTACACTTTTTTTTTTTTTTTTCCCCCCAATCAACTATATTGCTACCACAAGAGGTGAACACCATCCCTTGTAATACCTTACGGGCAGTGACAAGTACTGTTTATGGAGAGACCAGGTATCTACTAGACCCTTGATCCCACCCATTGTACTGGCTAGGGAAACCGAACAGAAGCCAGAAGTGACAAATTCCTTCATTTGTCACAGAGGTGGTCAGGGAATGCATGCACTTCCATCTCCACGGAGGGCAGCCCGCCTGACCGTAAACAGCGGTCCCAGGCTCCCTGGTGAAACTGGAGAGCTTGGGAATGGCAGCAGGATGGAGGGGTCCCTTCTGAGCCCTGTAAAAGTAATCGGGTAGCTTAGTGCCACTCTATCACCTTTAACCGAAATCCAATCGCTGTCTGAAGACAATACCAGGATGCTGCTGCAGCCCTGGTATAAGCACTTACTCCAGAGGCCGTAGTCAATTGCGCCAGCACCCCCACCACCTGAAGCAGGGCCAGAAAACTCCCATAGTTCTCATTCCCCTGTACTGCCCTATGTAATGACAGGTAGACATCGGGATGTGTTATGCACAGCGAATGGAGTTTTGGGTTTTTTTGCGAGTCGGCAGTCATTGTCATTGGATCTACTTCATGGGGCATTTTTCTTTATAAAAAAAAAAAAAACTTTGTTTTTATTTACTTTTGAAACTTTTTTTGGTGAATAAGGTGGGGTACTATATACCCCATACTCATTCAAATGGGGGAGTTGCTGGCATCTGGGGCTCCCTTCTAGATTCCGATAAGCCCCCTGCCCACAGACCCCCACTGGCCAGGGGGAAATGGTGCTTTGAGGGGGTATAGCCGGGTATGGTTCGGAGGGAAGGGGCGGGGGAGCACTTGCTTGACCCCTCCCCTGCTTTCCTGGCCTGTATGCTTGTAATAAGGGTCTGGGTGTGGATTTTGGGGAAACCCCATGGCAGCTTTTTCTTTTTGCCATGGGGTTCCCCTTAAAATCCATACCAGAACAGAGAGTCTGGTATGGTTTTTCAAGGGGCCCCCATGCAATTTTTTAAAAAAACATGTTTTTTTTTTTTTATTACTGACACTTGTTTGTTTACATTCTGCTCTCAGTGGGGAATCCCGCTTACAGGAGATGAGTCATGGTTGTTAAGGAGCAGGCGGCCACTGCTTCCTTAACAACCAGCTATTCACAATGAATTTGATATGTAAAGACCAAGTTAAAAAAAATCTGAATGAAACAAATGCATTTTTTTTTGTTATTACAGATTTATTGCCATTTGTTTCTATATCCATTTGGAAATTCATATAATGTACATCCAAATCTCTAAAAAACAAAATTTTTGTCCAAAAAAAAAAAAAAAAAAATTAGAACAAAACGAATTGCACATGTCTAGTTCTAGCGTGGGAGACTCAACTAAAACCTCTGTTTTTATGCAAAGTGTTAGACGGCCCATTTGCTTTTGTTGCAGGCTAGCTGGTAAATGTTCTATTTTCTATAAATGGTAACTACTTCAGAGTTATCATGTCTCTTACTGGCCTCCCTCTCTAGTCTTTTGATTGCTTGTTTATGGCAGATAGCCTTTTCTTGCTAGATTTACAATATTATTACGAATATCTCATACTTCACAATTCCTAATGATTGTTTTAACAGTACTCAAGATATATTCTATGACTTGGAAATGTTCTTCTATCCATATCTCCTGCAGTCATGTTCATGGAGTGGCTTGAGTTATTTTGTCTTTATGGAGTGGGATAGATAGGATATGTAATTTACTCATAAAACAATTATTCAAGGAAAAAAAAAAAAAAAAAAGCTAACTCAAGGTCTGCATATAAGGGTCGGAGTCTGCGGGCATTTGAGTAACTTAAACCACACAATGTAATACCATGACCAGTCTCTGAATACCACTCACCAAACTAGCAATATTTACATCTCAAAGACAATCTGGCGCCATCCTTTTTATTCTCCGTAGATTTTATTGTGTATGTAAAGAACTATGAATAAACATTAAAAACCATGATAACAATAAAATGCCCCCTACAGCTGTTCCATATCCCCTCTTGTATCACAATAAATTGCATATAGGCCATATTATGTCACTTTATTGTAAACAAGGAATCAATAGATTCCCATTAGGGTGGTTATAGTATATTATGTCAATAATGTAAATAACCCAGCACAAGTATCCCTGCTCCTGGAATTAGCTTTATTCTGCCAAACTAGCGAACTGGATCCAATTGCCACTTGGAAAAGAAAATATCCTCCATCTGTATTTTTAATGCCTTGAGGGTGTGTGCCTAATGGTGCTACCTTCGAGAACCAGTGACAAAAAAAAGGCCACAACGCCAAAAGTTTAGGACTTAAAAAATTTACTGAGGTCTGTTTTGCATAAGTAACATACAAACAAAAAGAACATTCAAAAATACAGACCCAGTGCACCTTTTGTCAAGGTCACAGACCAGTCCGTCACCTTGAGACAGGGGACTTGCATGTCCCTGAAAAATATGTGTGCTTTTTTGATTGTATAATGTTATTTATGCGAAGTATGCCAAACTTTTTACCTGCTGGCCTTTTTGTCATTCACTCTGATCCTTTATTTATGGAGCAATTAGAGCTCATGCCTGCAGCTTAAGGATTCCTATGTTATAGGTCCATGGGAGTAGTTATTTGGCTAAAGGTAGGCAGACAGACTCCCCCAGTCACTAAGAAAAAGATCTTGATCAAACTTTTTATTAAGTGGGTCCTGAATGGTTAAAGGCTCTTCTTTGGCAGGGTGATGAGACATTCCAACCCCACGATTGTGGCGTCTACCAACAGCAATGTGGAATAAGATTTTCTTCCTTTACAGCAGGGGTGCTCAACCTTTGGCCCTCAAACCGAGGAAGCACGTACCCAGGATTGGCAACCCATTGTGATCTGGGCATCAGAGTGCATATAGCTGTCAGCAGAGGAAGCAGGCGGCCACAGAGAGGGCAAGAACCACATAAGCCGATGCTTCCTCTGTAGCACCAGCACCTGTTCCAGGCAGAGTGATACCATGTGCACGGCCCCAGGGACCATTCCAGCAGCCTGAATAGTGATGCCAGCAGAAGCTGGAAGAGGAAAAGGTCAGTGGATTCAGCAACACATACACTGCGCTTTTGCAATGGGCATATTAGCACCTATAAAAGGGTTAACTATTAACTTACTTTCACAAAGTGCACCTGCTGGTTAACTGCGCAGAGCCATAGACTTCTATTTTATCCTGAGAGTTTGAAAGCACACCAAATCTCCTGACTGCAGTTTGTGTGCGCTTTCAGAAAGTGCACCACACACAGAAGATATAATAGAAGGCTATGGCAAAGTGCATCTAAGAAGACAGGAAAGACGCAGTGCATCAGTGTGAAAGCAGCCTTATAGGGGGTTCAGGACAGTAAGGGCTTGTTTATATTTGCAGTTTGGGGTGTGGTAAAACCCCATAGCTGAGACGTTTTTTTTTTTTTTAACCACTGCCCCCCCCCCCCCCCCCCCCAGTGTATATTGTTTTTTTTTGTTTGTTTTTTAAGAATAAATCCTGGCCTTGGGCTCATGCCATTTTGGCAGTTTCTGCAAATGGTATAATACAGAATGTAACCAATAATAGCAATAATTAATTAATGGCAGATCACTTTCGAAAAAAAAAAAAAAAATATGGCACGTGTGCTTGATAATCTAGGTTTATTGGAAATTCCTTTTGAGTAGTAAAAAAAAAAGTTTATATGTACAGTATATACGTAAATACATAGACTCCCCCATATGTGAAATGATTCCACTGCCCTCCCCAATACACATATGTATGTGTCAGAAAAAGCGTGATAGGGCGGTGAGCCAATGCGCTATGCTTATTCCTCCAGAACAGCTGTTTTTCTTCAGTGAAGGCAGCGTCACATTTACAAGTTCCTGGCAGCCTAGTCCCACATCTGCATACATTCCCTTATTTGAAATGTCCACTTGTTAACAGATCCAACTAAATCTGAGTTATGTAATAATCTGCAGTATATTTTGTATAAACCTTTAATAAATCCATGGTGTGAATGGAAATTAAAACATCGTTCAGAAGCCTTAGCTGTCCCTTAAATATAAAAGGAATAAGAAATAATGTCCGGCCCACGGATCAAGGCCTCAGCTTGCACCCCTAGGGGTGTGTTTGCAGGTTAGACACCTGAAAGTTATATGCTTCCATGTCGCAGGCATTGAACTTCTCAGCACAGACTGTGACACGTTGGTACATTGTGAAGGTAACAGGGAGCCCTGAGGAAGCAAGAAGACTTCGCAGGAAGCGCTCTCGAAGGGTGGATCGTATTTTCTGGTGTGAATCGGGAGCACTGTATGCCAGGGCTCGTGGCGTGGAAGGATCAAATCCACGTCCTGAAGGAGATGGTGGCCGAGGTAGACGGATCACAGGTACCTGAGGAAGAAGAGGCGGATTCTAGGAAAAATAAAAATAAGAATTTAGTACACTCGAGAAAAAAAAAAATGATATACTAGGATAAGCCCATGGTCCTTTCCATCATGTGACAGTGTTCAGACCTAGCTATTGCTCGAAAGGCCTGTGCACTGCATCATGGAAGTCATGTGTTCCTTCATACCTGGAAGTACTGAATATTTTGCAGTGGTGGCCAAAGAAATGGGGAAGCACTGATAGGAGAGTGTAAAGTGGTTGGGTGGGCTTTATATAGAGACTGTCACTTTGCCCTCTGTAAAGTGGACCTGAACTCAATAAGTGGTTCTAAAGGCAGAAGGTTATTTTTTTTTTTACCTTAATGCAGTCTGTTTGTTAATGTAAACCCTTTGCAAGCAGCCCCCCAGCCTCCCTTATACTTACCTGAACTCGATCTCAATCCAGCGATGAGCATGAGAGTAGGGGCTCTCCCACGTGTCCCCTTCCTCATTAGCTCAGATACAGTAACGGGAGCCATTGGCTCCCATTGCTGTCAATCATAGCTGTGAGGAGGAAATGAGGGACGAGGCCAGGATGCGCTCTATGTGTCTTATGGAGCTGGCTCGGAAGTGAGCATGCACGAGTGCCCCCATAGCAAGACAGCAAGCGGTTTGCTATGGGGGCACTCGACAGGAAAAGGGGGCAGGAGAGCCAGCAGGGGACCTGAGAAGAGCAGGCAAGTATAACATGCTTGTTATTTTTTAAAATGTTATCCTTTACAATCACTTTAACTACTTGCCCTCCGGAAGCTTTAACCCCCTTCATGACCAGGCCATTTTTTGCTGCGGTATTTCAATTGGTAATTGTGTGGTCATACAATGCTGCACCCAATGAAATTTATTTTCTTTTTATAACACAAATAGAGATTTCATTTGGTGGTATTTGATCACCTCTGTGGTTTTTACTTTTTGCACTATAAACATCCAATAAACTCAAAGTTAGTCATAAATTTAGGTCACAATGTATTCTGCTACATGTCTTTGGTAAAAAAAAAAATCCCAATACGTGTAAATTAATTGGTTTGTCTGAAAGTTATAGCATCTACCAACTATGGTATACAGTATACAGGTGAAACTCAAAAAATTAGAACATCATGCAAAAGTTCATTTATTTCAGTAATGCAACTTAAGAGGTGAAACTAATATATGAGATAGACTCTGTGACAGGAGTGACTTTTGGGTTTCGGGGGACCTCTGTATCATCCCTCCAAATCATTATGTTTAACCCACCCTGTGCCTGTTAAGGGTTACAGGGTGTGTATGTGAATGTCTGAGTCCTGTGTATAGTGTGTTGTCCTTTGTTCTCTGCCACATGGCTGTCCATTGTCTGTTTACCATGTGCTACCCCCCATTGTGCTGTGTCTTCCTGTCCAGAGAACTATTATGGGATGTACTGTGTGTATTGGTGTGGGGGTTGGTCAATGTCCTTTGCCACATGGTTGTATCCCATTGTTCTGTGTCTGGTTGGATGGGGAGGGGTGATGAGGTGTTTCCTGCCTATACTGTAGCCCTTCCCACTGATAGGGTGGGCTGATGATGTGTTTCCTGTCCCTGGTTGTCTTCCCCGCCCTCTGTATAAAAGATGTTGTTTTGTGTACAATAAAGTAGTTGGCTTCCTGTTTTAGTAAGAGCTGGGTATTGTCTATTTTCCTGAGGGATTTCGAGGGTGTGGTCCGTGGATGGTGTTCGGACAGGGGAAGTTGTGCTATAACGGAAAAAACTCAGTGCGGTCTGGGTTCCGGTTCCGTTACATTGGTGGCAGCAGTGGGATTGTGCTTCCAACCTGTAAACACATCCAAACCATCACCGGGATCCAAGAGCAGGAGAAGAGAGACAGATACCACCTGCAGCTATGGAAACTGAGGTCTTATGGCGGGTGCAGCAAGTGCTGGCTTATTTAGATGACCCGGTTTCTACATGGGATGAGCTTGGATGGAGGAATGCGTCTGTCCAACAACTGGATGAGGGTATGGAAGATGGAGAAGTTGGCTCATCCCTCCAAGTACAGATCCCAGAATGCATGGATCTAATTGATTTTTCAATGGAGGACGTTGTGGGTGATGAGTCGCCTGCCAAAGTGCTGGCACTGGACTCAAGGGCCTCCAGCCCGTGCCCTGGACATTTAGCCATTCCAGAGACTGGGGATTGTACTGATTTTTTTTTCTGAGGAGGAACCAGCCGGGGAGCTGCCAGCTGAAGCGCTGACAACCGGACAGAGGGTCCAGGACCTCTGCCCCACACCTGTGGTAGTTTCAGAGGCCCAGGGTGAGAAGGGAGAGGAGGTTGTTGTCCTCCCTCCCCCACAGTCAGCCAAAGTGGAGGAAACTCTTTTCCCTCCCAAGCCAGGATCTGTGCACCAGGGGGACAGTGACAGAGGAATGCCATCCCAGCAGCAGATCCACAGTTTGGGAGTGGGGGAAGACAGCCTCCCTCCCCCACGGTTAGCCGGAGCAGATGTGGGGTCCCCAGCAGAAGCGCTGGCACCAGGGCAGAGTGCCGCTGGCCTCTGCCTAGCAACTACAGTCACCACTTGGATACCCCAGGGATGCTGGGTAGTCAGCCCAGATCCCCTACAGAAGGATGGAGTCGGCCCAGCCACCCTGTCTTCTCTCCAGCGGCTGAGAGGATTTCCGGGAGAAGGACCAGTCCGTACTTCTCCCCAGCGGCGGGTATGTTCTACGGGAGAGGCAGAGGTTGGCTGGGTTAGTAACGCTTGGTGTGGGACAATTTGCATGGGGTACTGTGTGGGTGCTGGCATTGAGGGACTGGAAGTACAGACTAACTTCAGAGTACATCCGTCTGGGATATACTCCTGTGTTAGTCTCCTGCCGAAAGGGGAGATATGTGACGGGAGTGACTTTTGGGTTTCGGGGGACCTCTGTATCATCCCTCCAAATCATTATGTTTAACCCACCCTGTGCCTGTTAAGGGTTACAGGGTGTGTATGTGAATGTCTGAGTCCTGTGTATAGTGTGTTGTCCTTTGTTCTCTGCCACATGGCTGTCCATTGTCTGTTTACCATATGCTACCCTCCATTGTGCTGTGTCTTCCTGTCCAGAGAACTATTATGGGATGTACTGTGTGTATTGGTGTGGGGGTTGGTCAATGTCCTTTGCCACATGGTTGCATCCCATTGTTCTGTGTCTGGTTGGATGGGGAGGGGTGATGAGGTGTTTCCTGCCTATACTGTAGCCCTTCCCACTGATAGGGTGGGCTGATGATGTGTTTCCTGTCCCTGGTTGTCTTCCCCGCCCTCTGTATAAAAGATGTTGTTTTGTGTACAATAAAGTAGTTGGCTTCCTGTTTTAGTAAGAGCTGGGTATTGTCTATTTTCCTGAGGGATTTCGAGGGTGTGGTCCGTGGATGGTGTTCGGACAGGGGAAGTTGTGCTATAACGGAAAAACTCAGTGCGGTCTGGGTTCCGGTTCCGTTACAGACTCATTACATGCAAAGCAAGATAGTTCAAGCTGTGATTTGTCATAATTGTGATGATTATGGCTTACAGCTCAGGAAAACCCCAAATCTACAATCTCAGAAAATTAGAAATATTGTGAAAAGGTTCAATATTCTAGGCTCAAAGTGTCCCACTCTAATCAGCTAATTAAGCCATAACACCTGCAAAGGGTTCCTGAGCCTTTAAATGGTCTCTCAGTCTGGTTCAGTAGGAATCACAATCATGGGAAAGACTGCTGACCTGACAGTTGTGCAGAAAACCATCATTGACACTCTCCATAAGGAGGGGAAAGCCTCAAAAGGTAATTGCAAAAGAAGTTGGATGTTCCCAAAGTGCTGTATCAAAGAACATTAATAGAAAGTTATGTGGAAGGGAAAAGTGTGGAAGAAAAAGGTGCACAAGCAGCAGGGATGACCGCAGCCTGGAGAGGATTGTCAGGAAAAGGCCATTCAAAAGTGTTGGGGACTTTCACAAGGAGTGGACTGAGGCTGGAGTCAGTGCATCAAGAGCCACCACACACAGACGGATCCTGGACATGGGCTTCAAATGTCGTATTCCTCTTGTCAAGCCGCTCCTGAACAACAAACAACGTCAGAAGCATCTTACCTGGGCTAAAGAAAAACAGACCTGGTCAGTTGCTCAGTGGTCCAAAGTCCTCTTTTCTGATGAGAGCAACTTTTGCATCTCATTTGGAAACCAAGGACCCAGAGTATGGAGGAAGAATGGAGAGGCGCACACTGCAAGATGCTTGAAGTTTAGTGTGAAGTTTCCACAGTCTGTGTTGATTTGGGGAGCCATGTCATCTGCTGGTGTTGGTCCTCTGTGCTTCATTAAGTCCAGGGTCAATGCAGCCGTCTACCAGGAGATTTTGGAGCACTTCATGCTTCCTTCCGCAGACAAGCTTTATGAGGATGCTGACTTCATTTTCCAGCAGGACTTGGCACCTGCCCACACTGCCAAAAGAACCAAAACCTGATTACTGTGCTTGATGGGCCAGCAAACTCGCCTGACCTGAACCCCATAGAGAATCTATGGGGCATTGCCAAGAGAAAGATGAGAGACATGAAACCGAACAATGCAGAAGAGCTGAAGGCCGCTATTGAAGCATCCTGGTCTTCCATAACATCTCAGCAGTGCCACAGGCTGATAGCTTCCATGCCACGCCGCATTGAGGCAGTAATTGCTGCAAAAGGTGCCCAAACCAAGTACTGTGTACATATGCATGCTTATACTTTTCAGAGGTCCGATATTGTTCTATGTACAATCCTTGATTTATTGATTGCATGTAATATTCTAATTTTCTGAGATTGTGGATTTGGGGTTTTCATGAGCTGTAAGCCATAATCATCACACTTATGACAAATCACGGCTTGAACTATCTTGCTTTGCATGTAATGAGTCTATCTCATATATTAGTTTCACCTTTTAAGTT